CTTTATAAAGCTGTACGTTACAGATAAACCCATCCATCAACCGGCAAAGCTCTAATGAAACCACGACTAAAACTCCAGCTCTGATTTATGATTTTGATTTACGCTAAACGCATTGAAAGCTTACAAGTTTTTTACTTGTTGATTGAGGAATTGAGAAAATTAGGTTTTACATTTATTAACAGTGTTTTGCCAGCGGTGACTGTCGCACAGCTTCCCCTCTGATTTACAGCCGCCATCGATCTCTTTTACGGCCGTGTTGTGGTGCGTGTCGCTGGCCCAGCAGGTCCACACTCATGTAATCAGGGTTGTAGAGAGCCAGACTACAGTTAGTGATGCAGTAGAGGCCTCTGTGTACTCTCATTATGTGTGTGACGGTGATACAACACCTTGGCAGCACTAGAGTGCTCATAACCACTGCAAGGAACCCTGCTGAGCCCATTATGACATACTAGAGTATTATTACACTGTAGTCGGCAGTTACCAGAACATTATCATAATAGAAAGGTGCCTCTCAGTTGTGTGCAAGGATAAAAAGGAAGAAAAGTGCAAAATGGAAGATGGATTATTAACTACCTGCTCACTACGAGAGCTGGTATTGCAGCCAGTAAAACATGACTCACAGCACAGTTCAGATAAACCAGATCTGACCAGATCAGACTGCTTGGCTGCATCTACCTTTTATTTAACAGGCACACTGTGTAACTTTCAGCACACTGGATGACACTTATTTTTTTGTGTGTTTTGAAATGGTCGCTTGTTCAAGTTCTGCTGTGACTTCACAAAAGTCATATCATTCATGTGTCTGCGATGTCACAGGGGACATCAGAGATTCATGCTAGTCTTTGCGTGGAGGTGTCATGAGGTTTCACAAATCACCTTATACTTTCTTAAGGTTTGATTTCCCCATAGCTGAAGGAGTTACTTAAGGGTTTTGCACATAACTTTTTTCCTTAACTAAGGAAACCTTTTAAAAAGATTTAAGTTATTAAGTTATTTACAGCAGTGAAAGAGATTTTACAGCGGTAAAATTCTTCTGTTTCCATGGAGACTGTTGATTTGCTGCCATTAGCACTTGTGATAGGCCTGCCTATTATCACCTCACCATGGTGAACTTTGGTTGCTAGGGTCTTGTGTGCAACAATTTAACTGATTTTAAGTGATTACTGAAGTATAAGACTAAGATAAGGAGAGAATCTGAAATGCTTCAGTGAACATTTTAAGGAAACAGAGAAAAAGGAGAAAACTCTTTATTTTACAGAAACCGTAACTCAGACTTTAAGGAAAATCTTAATCTAAGGTGTTTTGTGCAACTGGCCCCTGAAGTTGATCCTTTTGTTGCAGTTAGTAACATTGACCTAAAAAGAGCTCAAGAGAGAGATCTCCAGTTTTTACGTTTTGCATATTTTCTTTTCTGCATCACACACCCTGTTTGTGAGTCTGAGGTTTTACTGGATAAAGATGCTGAGGAAGTCATGGCCTGCTTCCAATAAACAGGCAAAATTATGAGGGGTTAAAGTTAAGAAATTAGTTGATTAAAAGTCGAAGTTGTGAAAATGCTTGTGAAATTTAAAACCGATTTGATGAAACCGGAACCATGTTTCATCATGTTTCCAGTCTTACATTCATCATCCAGCTTTCACAACACATTTGCCATTTATCATAACTGGGAAAAAAAGTGACCAAATGAGTCTTCAAAAGCCTTTTTTATTAAAAGAAACCAAACTTCTCCAGTGTTAAATGTTGTATTAACAAAAGCCGTCGATTAACTTAACCTAATAAAATACTATAATTCAGCACCCACAGCCCAAAGAAGTAAAGAAAGTCCTTTTATTACCGAGTTATTGGCCCAGATTACTTCTGTAGTCATTTCACATCTCTTTCACAACCCTCTTTAATATAACTTCATGAAGGTAGTTTATGGAAATTTACTTCTCATTTTCTATTGTTGAAATTTCTCCATCTCGATGTCTTTAGTTTTTTTTTTCGCCCGCCTTACCACCAGCAGCCTGGCCGTCTCTTATCCCTCTGCTGATAGTCTGCATCACATTGCGTAACACGGCAGCCTGCCAGCCGAGGGTTTTCCCTCTTCTCCGGCTAGATAAGGGATTATCCACGATGCTGCAGGGTCCCCTTGGGAAATCCAAGCCCTCAATCCCATCCCTATACTTTATCATCCCAGGCTCTGGCCAACCCAGTCGGATGATGTAATAGTGGAGTGGAGAGATGGACAATATGCTCCTGTGAAGATGCCCGGCAGATAAGTAACTGCAGTGCTCGTGCTGCCGCTGGCATTTCTGGAATACCTTGGACTTTTATGGGGACAGGGAGCTGAAAATGAGATTTACTATGAGGGGTCAGGTTTTTGAGGAATATTCGGGAGTTAGGCACGCTGACTGTTCATGCATGAATGCTCTTCAGTATGGACAAAGTTTTATGTCACGTGCAATGCTGACTTTATTAGACAATTGACAGAATATGAATCAACAACAATTTTGATAATAAATGTATTTTTCAAGTCATTTATCAGGTGAAATTGGCAATCGTTCTCTGGTTCCATCTTCCCATGTGAGAATTTGTAGTTTAAATATCATTGTGACTTTAGTATTGTGAAATAGTGATGAGATTTTTTCTCTTTCTTCCTGTTACACTTCATAAATAATTTGAGATTAATTGGAAAAATCAGCTTTACAGTTAAATGGGCAATGAAAATCATCGATGTTTTGCTTGGAATGAAGATCCCAAGCAAATTGGAGTGAAAATAAACAAAAAAGCTGTTGTTTTATCTGTATTGCATAATGGTAGGAGGATTAAAATTCTTTGTATGTGATGCGATTTTTCATACATTCTGTCTATCATACTATGTTCTTACAACTTTAAACAATGACATTTAAAACATTCAACATTTCTTTCAAAAATAATGTCACGTTCCTCTGGATTGTTGACAGATTTTTAATGTCAGTTTTTATTGGAACTATTTCTGCTGAAGGAAGCCTCTGAAAACAGTTCATTTACAGTAGAGAGAGAAACTATTAAGACCTGCAATAACAAGTTGATTAACTGCTTACCCAACTGAAAATTAACCAGACACATTATCTAATTGAGAAACTTCTTTACTTTTTTTTTTCAGCAAAATTGCCAAACGTTGGCAGATTAGGCATCTAATAAGTGAGGATTTGCTGATTTTCACTGTCATTTTATTGTAAAACTGAGTATATTCGGATTTTGGACTCAGCCTCTATTCTGACATTTTATAGACCAAATGATGAACAGATTAATTGCAAAAATAATTGGCAGATTATCTGATAATGAAAATAATTGTTAATTGCAGCCTCACTTTCGATCATGGTCTTTATTCTTTGCTGTGGTTCCCCACTCGCCTCCACAAAGTAGTGCCTGTAAAATAAAAATAAACAACACATTTGAAAACAGCACATTATAAATGCAAAAAAAAAGGAAACAACAGATACATGTCAGAAAATAAGTGAAGTGATTGTTCAAATGCGAAAGTAAAAAACATTTGTACCTAGGAAGCAAAAGCAAACTGTATAAACTAAGTAAAATTCTGTAAACTTCATTAGTCTTAGTGACTGTGTGTGTGAAGTTCACACTACACGGCAGTTTTTGGAAATCGCAGAGAAAAGATTTCAGTTGTGTTCCCACAGTCAGCCATGATAGCTGTTGATGCATCACTGGCAGGTTGTGGTTTTATTTTGAAAAGTACAAAACTGGTGATGAAAGTTCGACACGAGGCGTCTTTGAAACTACTGCTGACATGAACCCAGAGCTCCCAGTGAGTTCCCAGGACTCTGACAGTTAGATAACGTTCACTCTGGTCCAGGGCCTGACCCACCTTGGAATTTTTTAAGTCACGCCACCTTTCAACTCCAGCCACGGAATTTAAGATGTTAATTCCCTCTAATTGGAGAAATCTTATTCTCAGCCCCGAGTGGGCCCCTTATGGTCATATGATCTGCACACATGACCCACACACATGGCCTTTTGTACCCCGCTCTTAATGCTAGATTAGTTTGGAGGGTTACATAAGGGTTAAAGTTAGGCAAATGTCACTGAGTTTGGATAATTGAATAAGAAGTTGACATATAGTAGTTCTCCTATAGCAGATGTTGCTAAAATCATGTACATAGGACCCAGAGAGGGTAGTGATCAGGATGACACAGTTGTCTTAAAATGGTAAGCAGTTGTGTAAGAAACAGTTAGCATCCAGCTGAAACATGGAAAATGACCACTGGGAAAAAGACAGTAGAGAAACTGATATATGGAAGAAAAAGTAAGGAAACAGTTTTCTAAAACTGTCAGTTTTAGATCTTAAAGGGGCCAAAGCAGCTTCTCTGGCAGGTACCCAGCTGTTATTTTAAGTCTATCCTAAGTAATCAAGTGTCAATTTATCATTAAAAAAAAATTAGATTAAAGTTTTGATTAAAACCTGCAGTGGTTTTGTTCCATTATTAGAACATCCTTCTGATTATTAAATTATTGGTATCAAGCCAATGTCTCTCTCTGTATCTTTGTGCAGGTAACATTATTAAAATTAAAAGAAATTTTTGACATTGAATGAAATTTGTTTCTAATGTGAAGAGGGTTCTTCATAGTCCAGATCACAGAAAAATATCACAAACTCTGCAGCTGTACAAAGGTTGTTAACCTGTTGTAGCTCACAGCTTTGGTTTTATGGGGCATTCACTGTATGGTCCAGTCTCATCAGCCATGTTTCCAGCAGTTAAGTAGGTGGAGACCAAACCACGGCTAAAAGTAGCAGGGATATTGGACTTATATTCATCAAACACAACTCCACTGAGGTGATAATGGTGCTTAGCATCTGCTGGGTGTGGAAGAAGGCGATTGTTTAACTCAGTTTAACTTAGAAAAGCTGCTGACATTGTGTCCGTCTACTTGTTTTGATGTTCGTAGTTGCCAAAAATGGATTCTTGCAGCTTTAAAGTTTGAGCACTGTTCTTATCTCCTTTTTCTCTTCTCGTCAGCCATCATGTATGTGATGGGAGCACTGGGCCCAGCAGCGGGTTACCTGCTGGGAGGAGTCCTCATTGGTTTTTATGTGGACCCCAAGACTGTTGTCAACATTGACCAGAGTGACCCCCGCTTCATCGGCAACTGGTGAGAAATATCTTCTTTTTTTTTTTTTTTTTAATCGGAGCCACTCTAGGACCTGAATTTTAGTAATAATCCCAAAACTATCTTTCCAGTACAGAAGTTTGGATATATAAATATTATATTACTGTAAAATTTGTCCCATTGTCAGTAAATCCTATGAAAAGACCAAAAATCAGCTCCATTGTTTCCAAAAACTATTAACAACACATTAGTGAGCCACAGTGTTGCCCTGGGTGACATCATCCTTCATTGTTCCTTCGTGGACGTGTAGTTTATTTTGACACAAATACTGACTACAGCACCAAATATGGATTGATCCGCCACTGAAAATAGTCTCAAAACAAATGCACTATTTCTTCTCATAAGTAAAGTTTGTTAATAACTACAGAAACCAGATACTTTAGGAGCCTTTTAAAAAAAAAAAAAAAAACAATTAAACTATATATTTGTGAAGTGTGAAAGATTAATGATTTAAGTTGGAACCAGTGGTTTGAAGCTGAGAGATGGGCAGAAATTATTGTAAAATCAATGAGATTTGTTGCCAGCCTTATCTTTTAAGAAAATATTACCAGTCTGTTCAATGCATCACTAAATAAAATATTGTGTAAAGTTTGAAAAGTTCACAGATTTTTTTCACTGTTTGATTGATGAAGCTACAGACACAGTACGGTCAGAACTGAGGCTGGAATTAAAGGCCTAATTGAAGTTAATTTGAGATTAAAATGTTTTCATTTATTCAGTATTAAAAGTGCCATTTTCCTATTGTGTACTCTATCTGTAATGATGTAGCTCCAGTGGTTGACATCTCATAACATGAACAGACACATTACCTTCCCCAAAAATTAGTAAAGGGTCTCTATTAAGGCAGATTATGCTTTGTTTCTGCTCATTTCTGTGTTAAAAGTCTGATTATTGAAGTTGGTTTCACCATGCATGAGAGAGAATCAACCACATCTAAAATTATACTGTGGGAGGGAAATTTTACAAATCAAGAATCTACCAAAACTGCAGCATCACTTTGAACGCATTAGATGCATGTGTGCTCTTTAGGTCATATTTTTGTGCACATCTTACATCTATCTGTAAATCTGTTGGTGTGTGAGAGATGCAGTTAGTCATCTATTTGCAGATCTCAGTGATGCAGTCTTCTAACCGACAACATAACCTGTGAATCACTAGCCAACAGCTGCAGGCTTCCTACATGAATTAAAGGTGATGGTAGCGGGAAGAGGATGGATGAGTGTACCAGTGATTATTATTGATTTATTTATTTATGTGCACACTAATGAGGCAAAGTGATAAAATAATACCAAGTCCAAACTGACTTTTTGACAGCGTGGACTAACCTGAGGTCACCTCTTGATGACACTTTGATGAAACCTTACTTAATTTCCTGTATTTTGAATATTTCATTTCAATCCCCTCTCGTCTGTCCAGGTGGAGCGGGTTCCTGCTGTGTGCCGTGGCCATGCTGCTGGTCATCTTCCCCATGTTCACCTTCCCCAAGAAGCTGCCGCCCCGACATAAGAAGAAGAAGAGGAGGAAAAAGCTGAGCCTGGACGACCTGTCTAGCGACGACGATGTCCTTAAGGAGAAGAGCAACAACAAGAGCCAGACGGTCACCTCCTCCATGGGCTTTGGCAAGGACATTAAAGGTACCAGCAAACACTGCAACGTGTCGGGAAGAGGCTACTGATGTCACTAATGATGAGGTCAGACATAAATGGAGTGTTTCTCAGAGCTGTGAGTTGGTTCTTTCCTTAAAGATCAGACCCGTTTGATGTTAAGATATGAGTCAAGCTGGTCAACATCTATGTTTACAGTTTACGGTCACGTTCTGACAACATCCCTGCCCTGCTCTCAGCTGTGATACCATGCTTCTGATTTGGGTCATAGGTAAATGTTGAACAATATGTTCAGAAACTCTCTGATGTAAACTGGTTGATTTAATAATTAGTCAATTGACAGAAGACTAATTGGAAGCTATTTTTGATAGGCAATAGAGTCTTTTTATTTTTTTTAAGAAAATTGCCAAAATTTGCTTCTTTTTTCTAGTTGCCTACAATAAACTGAAAAATGTAACTGAATATTTTTGGACTGTTGGTCTGACATTTTTCACTGTTTTCTAACATTTTATAGACCAAATGATTAATGATTATTAAATGATTGATCTGTAGAGTAATCAGTAATGAATATACAGTAATGAGTGCTCATTCTGTACTTATAAGTGAATGCAGTGGACCCTTGCTCCTGAATGGCAGCAAGAATTTAAAGGAGATAATACAAAGGCAACAAGCAGAGCCTGATCCTTCCTTTGTTTTACGTAAAGTATTTGTAAGTTTTTGCTATTGCTACATAGCTAACGTTAGCATGAACAGCTGTTTACTTACCAGTGTAGAAGAAAAATTGTGGGTTCAGCATCAAACATCATTCCTTTACTCACCAACAGCTGTCTCCAGAGGTGGATCTATTTCTATCACTTCTTTTCCTCTCATGAAGTTAGCATGCTAACCAGCTATCCCCGTTCCAGTCGGCCCGTCTCACCAGTTTCCGATACCATGTCGCTGTAGCGTTCAGTTCGCCCTGAAGAAGCAGCGCTGCTTAGAGGATGTATTATAACCTCTTGTATTGTAGATGCAACAATGGCTGAAGCACTTGGACTGGTAAGTAAACGGTTGAAAATGCTAACGTTGGCTATGTAGCAATAGCAGAACTTAAAAATAGCTCCTTTAAGTACTTTACAAGGTGACCTTGCATCGTTCGATTAATCAGTACATCAAGCCAGGACAGAGGGAACTGTTAAGAACTGGTAAATTCTTTACAACAAACAAAAATTCAACCACACCTTTGTCCACCCCTCATCTTTCCTTTCTTTCAGACCTGCCCAAAGCAGCAGTGAGGATCCTCAGCAATGTGACCTTCTTGTTCGTTAGCCTGTCCTACACAGCAGAAAGCGCCATCGTCACCGCTTTCATCACCTTCATCCCCAAATTCATTGAGTCTCAGTTTGGCATCCCGGCTTCCAATGCCAGCATCTACACCGGTGAGATGAATTACACAACACTTTGTTTCAAAGCAGCAAAAACACATTTTGCCAAGTAAGCTCATGATTTGATCAAATGTCTGATCCAATCTGATGTCTTTATTCTGATGTCTGGATGTCTCCACCAATCATGAGTCCTACATTTACGGCCCTCATTAAATCAAAAACAGGATTTGTTTCTCATGAAACTCTACCTTCTCCCCTCCTCTGCCTTCTCTTCTGAGCTCCCATGTAATATTTCTACAGCAGCACAGACAGGATGCAGACAGACCAGAGTATCCACATAACACCCAGGACTTTCATTTCTGTCTGTTCAGCGGTGCTCTGCCAGTTTTATCTGAGAGCAGAGCAGGAGAGGCTGTCTGCCCATCACTGCGAGCCAACACACATTAATAATGAAGACACTGCTGGTCTTCAAATGAAGGGGGCACCTGGGACACTGAGCTAGAGCACTGAGTGCATTACACACACATTTAGAAACACACACACACACGCACACACACACACACACACACACACACTAAAACGCTCTACATACACTCACAATTATGTGCTGAAACACATGGATGCTTAAACAGGCATATAGGCTAATACATTACTTGCAATTCAATGCATGTTAGCTTGCTAAATTTTACATATAGAACTCTTTAGCCCCTTTTCCACTGATCAAAAAACGCACTAAGACTCTCTTACATCTAGCTTGTCTCAGCAATGGAAAAGGGAACAATTGCCATTTACACCCAGGTCAAATGATGTTGCAGTACACACAGGTATTTATCGGCTACGGCTCCGATAGGCAGTGATGTAAACACAACACTTGGGTGAACGTCTTCTGTAGACAGAGACAGATCTGTCACCAGCATGGTGCTGTTAGCCCCGAAATAATTTTAAAAAACACACAATCACTGATCGAAGCGTCTCACATGGAGGCTCCGACACTGACAGGAGCTCCAACCCGGGGATGAGACGAGACGGATCGGTTTTACCAGTTCGCACGCTGGCTAGCAGCTCACTCTCTCTCCACTGCATCTGTGTGTGTGCTGTATGCATGTGATGACATCGCTCCTTGCAGTTGTGTGTGTCCTCAGTCCAAACAGAAAGGTAAACCTGACTAGCAGTGGAAAAGGGGTCGGTAACCCCATATTTAAAAAAAACTTGCTAATTCTGGTGTAAAAAGGGTATTGTGAGTTTAACAACATGCTAATAACCAAACATGCCGATGTTATTTTACGTTATCCACACATTTATCATTTAAATATGGGGATAACACACATTTTCAGACAGTTTCCCCTGGAAGGCCTTTACTGCGTTGCACTCCCAATCCAACCGTGAAAAGGTGTGTGTGTGTGGGGGGAGGGGACTTCTAAAACTATCTGACCGTACTGCCCTACAAAGGCAGAGTGCGGTATAGACAGGTAGAAGTAGTGAAGGTGTGTGTAGTTGCTGGGTTTTGCCATTGCTGGTCAGCATATGACATACAGTTCAGACAGATTGGCAGCTTAAGCCTGACACACTGAGGCTACGTCCACACGTACTACGATCTCCGTCCAGACTAACACACATGAAAACGTAGAGTATGTCCCAAAATGGCCACCGTACAGAGGATAAACCTTTTGATTTGGATCACAACACGACCTCTCTTCAGACGCCACCCATGATTTTGTTCGTAGAGCTGAATATGGTATTCTTCTTAAATGGTCAAGAACACTGCGGCAGCCCAATGCTATACATCACCATTTAAAAAGAGGCGTCTGGAGAGAATTATTAATCCGTGAACAACCAGGAACATTCATATTCAACATTCATATTTGTAAAATGATCATCATCTCAGACATCTGAGACCTTTTGGTTTTTACATTAGAGACACCAGAGGTGTATGACAGCCTTACACAGCCTCATTAAAGAATAGGTAACATCTTTGTTGACACAGTCGAGCTCATCTGTGTGTCACAGATGTTAAACGGTCCCACCACAGAGGAGTGCAGCATCGTGTCACAGAAACCTTCAGTCCTTCAGGAGCATATCTTAAGGCGACAGAGCCGCTCAGAGCCTGATAAGCTGAGAGGACTGTGAGGCTCTGCTCGGACCTGATGTCATTTTCTGGTGATGGTGGTTTATTTTGGTATACTGCAGCTGCTGATAGCGAAAAGCATTTCCACATTAGGAAGTTTACTTTTCTCTGTTGGTTTGATGGACACATTTGCAGTTGGTAATATCCACCATGACATAAAATTTTCAACTAGAGCTTATAGCTTCCATTTGAAAAAGACTTTAGACAGCAAGCAAAAGCTTCTTTTTGTTTCTCGTTTTTGGCTGTTTGTCCTCAGAATTCATTTTTCAAGAGTCTAATTACAAAATAAGGCCTTTTTTAAAAAAAAAAGAAAAAAAAAAAAAAGAAAAAGATTTTGATTGCTGGTGTCAAAAGTGCAGCACAGCATTAGTCACACATGGAGGTGCTGTGAGTCATCTGAACTTTCCACACAAAAAGTTCTGTATTTGGTAGCTGGATTTTAAAAATGTTATAATGCTGAAACTTCCATTTCTATTGTTTTTATATTGATGTTGTCCAAACAAATTCCATCTTGGAAGACTTTTGTTATCAGAAATGTTTTCGTGTGTTTACAGTTACATAACTGTCTCATCTGTAGGTGGAGTGGGCTGGTGGAGCCTCTGATTAAAACTGCCACTCGCACATATTTTCATACTATGCCAACCTCTTGTGAGTGAAATCAAATCATTCCTTTGGGAACCTGCTCATGGATTGTCTCTGTGGAGTGTGACTGTGATTTGGTGGCTGAGTGGGTAGAGCAAAGCATTAGCACCCACCCACCTATGCCAGGGTTTGTGGTTCTATTCCCTCTGCAGATAAATCCTTCTGTGTCCTAGCTTTGTTTCGAGTCTCGTCCCATTGTTTAGAATTTGTCCTGGATTATGTACCAATACCAGGAGGCCAGGCTCAGTCTTTCTGCATAATTTTCAGTTAATGAAAGGGAGATGAGAGGTCTGACGGCGCATCTGTCTCTTCAGATTTTCATCTGTTTTGCCCGGACAGGCTTTTCCTGGAAAGACAGATTTGTTGCTGCCCATTTAGCCAAGGACTTCCTAAATTTATTTTAGGCCAAATTTCCCTGAACTACAAAAGCTGTTCCATTGGCTTCATCTTTTCTTACAGAGACAGACATCTCAAGCTCAGGCAAGGATTTGCTCAGAGGGAAATTGTCTTACTTGGCAGTGTATTAGCAACGTCAGTGAACTCCACACCAGATTGATAATGGACGAAAACAGAAAGCTGCACAACATTATCTAACACCTACTGAAAAGGCACCGACTCTGCCTGGGTTAGAGGTTTCGCTCCCTTCGGGGGCCACCCACACTGAAAAAGTGTGCTGTCATGGTAATGCACGGCTACCCGGAGGCGGCTGTTGTTGTGATTGCTGCATTTTCTTTAGGATTTGTCTTGTCATTGAAGACAGAGTGAAAGCTGCGAAGACCGCAATTACTCAATTTATAGCTGATTCAACTTTTACAAGTAGAAGTTGAATAAAATTTTTGAAAGAATAACAAATAACTTAACTCTCTAACAAAAAAAGATATATATGTAGCTGTTTTGTCCCTTGCAGTTAAACATCAGGTAAATTCTAAGAGCTCTTAAAGCCCCTAAAAACCTCAGTTTCTCAATCAGCTTCTAACTATGATTGTTGGGGCCCTACACCACATGAACACACAAATTGCCAAATTTAACAGTTTTGCTTCTTTCACTTGAGAGACTTCTTCCTGTTTGTCTGTGTCCTTCTTGCTGGTTTTAAATGGACAGAGCTCATTTGGACAGTACTTGAGTCAAATTCTAATGACATGACATGATGTCTAATGATGTCAAATTACACTTACCCCAATGAAGCAGGTTAGCTTATTTAAGTGTTTTCTCCAACTTTAACTTTTATTGTCCTTACACACAAATGCAAAGAGGAAGAAATTTGGAAATTCTAGCAGAACCTGAGGGTCAAAGCATCATCCGTACATATGGAGCCAGAGCGTGGGACCATCTTTTCCTGCTCATAAGTCTGTTAACCAGTGATCAGCACCTCATTACATCCCTTTGTGTGTGCTATTTTTTCCATTATGTATTCTAAACATTCCAAAGTAGTCAAACTGACCTATGCAATGTCATAACATCTAGAATATTACATTTACATTTACATTTACTCATTTAGCAGAAGCTTTCAGATAAAGATCAGGTAAAGAAGTGAACTGAAAGAGCATAGTAAGTGTTAATCAGGCATGTTTTGGTGTTAGAGGCGTTAGGAAAGGAGGTTGCTCTCAGAAGAAATGAGTCTTCAAGAAATAGCTTGTTCCACCATCGGAGAGCCACAGACCTTGTGTGCAGGGATGGCAATGCCAGACCACATCCCTTGGAGGACTGTCGCTATTAGATTGTTTGCTGCTAGTCAGACAGTGTGCGGGATTTGCCATGGATTTGAATATCTCACAAATAAGTTTTAAGGATAAGATACAGAATACACAATAGACTAGTGTCATAGCTATTGAAGGAAACACATTTTGTCTTTTAAAGTTCAGTTAATGGATTTTATGTTAGCATCACCTGCATATTTTCACACTCAGCAGACGTATCTTTGATTTGGAGTGGAGTGTGTGTCCACCTGGTGAATGTAATATCCCATATTCACCCTCCTTTTGGCTATGGTTTGGTCTCCAACAACTCCTGAGAAAAGTGTCTGGCTGTGTAGCTGCTAGATGTTTGACTGTCTTCACCAGCTTGTCTCTAACGTTGTCTGTCACATTAATATAGAAGATAATAATCAGTGGAGTTTTGAAAGGGACATACTGTAAAACTATTTAACTAGGTGGGAGAATTAGCTAGCTGCCCTAAGTGTAAGATGATTTGATATAAATGAAAGCATTCTATGGATTAGCGAGTTCTCTGAATTCTTAATAATAAGCCTTTCTCCTCCCTCCAGGCGTGATTATCGTACCCAGTGCCGGCGTCGGCATCGTCCTGGGCGGCTACATCATCAAGAAGCTGAAGCTGGGAGCTCGCGAGTCGGCCAAGCTGGCCATGATCTGCAGCGGAGTCTCACTGCTCTGCTTCTCGACACTGTTCATCGTGGGCTGTGAGAGCATCAACCTCGGAGGAATCAACATCCCCTACACCACCGGGTGAGGAGCCACGAGGGGAGGGGTAGAAACTGGGAGGGTTCACTTCAGGGAAATGGTGGGTTGTCATGCATCACTGCTGACGAGGAAGAACCGCTACACGGCAGCCTTGAGGATGCACTGTTCAGTGTCTTATCTGAATTGAAAATTTACACCGGGTGTCGGTGTGTGATTTTTATTGTGCGGGACGGAGCAAGGCAACCAATCACACTCAGAGGATAAAGGAGAGAAGGGAAGGAAAGAAGAAAACAGACACAAGAAAGAGATAAACAGATGGACAGTAAAGGAGGAGATTAAAAAAACGCTCATAGAGAAAAACACAGAGGTCAGAGAAATAGCTTTGGTGACCATTGTCATCTCAACACATATCTGTTTCTCCTTTGTCTTATTCTTTGTGAGTGTTGTAACCTGTCCTCTCTCAAACCCCAAAACAAACGGGACATCTGCCCCAACTCATTAATATCCTGGATACAGCTGGGTGTCTGGGTTCTCATGTGTGTTGTTAGTTCATCCATCCATCCATCCATCCATTTTCTGCCACTAATCCAGGGCGGGGTCATCAAGCAAGGTGGCCCAGATGCCTCTCCCCAGCAACGTTTTCCAGCCTCTCCTGGGGGATCCTGAGGTGATCCCGGGCCAGATGAGATCTATAATCTCTCTAATGTGTTGTTGGCATGCGGCAAGGTTGGGGGCTGAAAAATGAAGCCAACACTGAAGTGCAGTTCCTCTAATGACCACTAGAATCTGGCTCCAACAGTGAGTCAATCCCCATAGACTCCCATGTTAAAATGTCCAACTTTACAGCAGAAATGTTTACAGCCTGGTACAAGAAGCGGTTTAAGTCTCTAAAGCTAATTTCCTTCTTCATGACAACTGTATAACTCACCTGTTTACATTTCATTGAGGCTTAAAGTTATGTGTAACTGAGGGCGTGGCCACTTTGAGTGACAGGTTGGTAAGTGTGTGCTTGCCACAAACCACCATGCACCGAAGTCTCAGCTCCACATGCGCCCCTCCTCTTTGCCCATTTTTGGATTAGCCAGGAGTTAGGCGGAGTCAGGAACTGCCAAGATGGCGACAGTGGAGCAGCTCACTCTGAGCTTCTAAACCGCTCTTCAGAACCCTGTGGGTGACATCACAGAGGCTACAACCATCTTTATTTACAGTCTATGGTTGTCGGTGACCCCGGTGGTCCCATACCAGTTGGATATGATGGAAGACTTTTGAGTCAGTCTCACATACACCGTCCTCCTGCTGTCTGTAATACTTAGAGCATCAAATGTGGATTAATCCACCAGTGAAAATAGTCCCCAATGAATGCGGTTTAAGTAACATTTACTTACTAAAAAGAAAACAAAGAAACTTTATTTTATGAGCTGTTTTTTTAAACATTTTTTTCTTCAGTAGGAACCAGTGGGCTTTGAGCTGAGAGCCACAGAAAGGGCAGGGATGTTAGAGAGTATTGAGATGGATTTTACACATTGTTGGTTTTGTTTTCCTCTTTCACTGACAATAACAAAAATATAGAAAAATGCCAGCCTTGTCCTCTAACATAATTTGGCTAGCTTTCTAAAAAAAAAAAAAAAAAGGCAAATGTAAAGCAAACAAAAAGGCAAATAAGTACAATAACAGAATCACTGACTTTTGGCATAAATATGTAGAAGCAGCTTTCAACATGGTTGACCATTATCATCCACTACAGTCTACTGATTCTAGGTGACAGCCAGACGCCACGTTGCACTGGGTCTTGTCAGGGCTAATACAAAGAAAAGAAGATCTCAGATTTTGATGCTTGCACATACACTTGTACCAATCCCTGATTGTTGATCTTTTTTTGGGCACATATTTATGATGTCTAAAGATTTTCCTGCTTTAGCCATTTTTGAAACACCTCCTTTGGGGTCTGTATTCTCAGATCTACTCATAATCCCAAACAGGGTTTTTGGAAGATTTTTGTTTAAATCAGAGACAGCCGTTTCATGGCTGCAGCTTGGCCTTTGTCGTATTAAATCATTTCCCGGCACTGACAAAGTCAGTGGTAGTTTTTATCGACCCATCTGTGGCCGACGTCAGGGAGGAAGCGAGTGTTCAGATCAGTGCAGGATAACAGACAGCGAGCCAGTAAACGGAGGCGTTTTCTTTTGGACGGAGCGTCCCTGAGAGCGATTACATGGCAACGATGGAAAATGTCCAAGGACAGCTTGGAGGAGAGGACCCTTGGCTGACTGCCCTCTCTTTTTCTCTGTTGTGCTTCTCCCTCTGGTCTTTTTGATTTTACTCTGCCTGTCTGTCTGTCTGTCCGTCCGTCCGTCTCGCTATCCTGTCTTCATCTTCGGTACTGTTTCTAAATTCCCTTTTTTTGTTATTTTCTCTTTATTTCATTATCTCTTGTTTTTCCTCTTTCTCATCCCTCGTCCATTGCTCTCTCTTCTTCCTTATCTTTTAATTTTTCCATGCCCTCCTCTCTCCTTTCTTTCTTTTTTTACCTTCATTGTCCTCCCCATCTCTCATCTTTGTCACTCACTTCCTCCTTGTCTCTCATCTTTCCTTCTGTCTTCTCCATCTTGTTTCTGCACATCTCTCTTCATTATTGTCCTTTTCCTTCTGTCCTTCTTCATCTATCATCTTATTTTCTCTTTCTCCCTTGTCTTCTATCTTCTTGTTTTCCCTCCCTCCTTACTTTTTTTTGCTGATTTTTCAGTGTCCATTAAGCACTTTTACTAAGTCAATATCAGTTAAAGTCGCTGCTTGTTCTCTGGTTCATTATTGTTTTTTTTTAGCCATGCTGTGAGAGTCATTTGGCTCCAGTGATGGCGGTATTGGATGCTTGGTCGTCTGTTTGTGCATTTTGAAGTATTTGAAAAATCTAAATAACCATAGATTGGCATGAAATTTAATGCAGACATTTCACAGCAGCATAAAAAAAAAAACTAGTGGCCAAATTCCTTTCAGCCTGAGCTGTCATTGTAGATCATTGGTAACAAAGCATGTTATAGGGCAGCGGTCGTGTGCAGTTGATTTCCAGGTTTTGTAGTGTTGGAGTTGCACAGTAAAGAAAATATTCTGATTTATTTCTAATAATTATTTCATATCTTTACACTCACATCACACAGATACCACAGTATTTACTGTTTCCTGCTTTATTTCTGAGCAATTTTCAAAATTTCAACTCTGTGAGACAAATCATTGTTTGTTTGGTCAGGTTTTCATGGCTGATGGCTCAAAATACTACATTACCCACAAGCCTCAGCCGGTTATGGAGAAAATCCATCCAAAACTGACCCAGAATCTGAAGTTGAACTGATTTTAAACTGCTGAATGTTTTATCAGGTTTCTACAAACTGTTATCTTTAGCTTCAGCTTCATAGTTGAAGGTGGACCTGAGATTTTATTGATGGCCACACTCAACTATAAACAGTCTGATTATTCAGCAAATATCCCCAACTAAGACTTAATCTTTGCTACTAGTGATCTTGCAAACAATAAAAGTAAGTGAGTTTTGAAATGCAAAATCTAAACGACTGCTGATTTTCTCATCCTGTTTTCTCTCTGCAGACCGACTCTCACCATGACCCAGAGGAACCTGACAGGAGGTTGTAATGTGAACTGCGGCTGTAAAATCCACGAGTACGCTCCGGTCTGCGGCTCCGATGGCATCACATACTTTAACCCCTGCTTGGCCGGCTGCAGCAGTGTGGCCAATGATAGCTCCGGGGTAAGTGCCAGGGATAGATGACATACATTTATTTAAATTTAGGATACTGTCACTTAATTCCACTAAAATTTAAAGTGCAGAGGCCGATAGAAGCTGCCAGTGTTCTGGATGATTATCTCACTTGCTTACAGTGGTGAATTAATGGCCTGAATAATATCGCATTGAACTCAAAGTCTCTAAAACTCCATACACATATCCCCCTGTGCTCCAGATCCGTAACTACTCAGACTGCGCCTGCGTCCAGAGTCGGCAGGTCATCACGCCGTCGTCCAGCGGTCAGGGCAGCAACCAGCTGCAGCTGGTCATTGTCAAGACCTATCTGAACGAGAATGGCTACGCCGTGTCAGGGAAGTGCGACCGCACCTGCAGCACCCTCATCCCCTTCCTAATCTTCCTCTTCATCGTCACACTCATCACTGCCTGCGCCCAGCCCTCCGCCATCATCGTCACCCTCAGGTACGACCGTCTAAAGATCAGCTGGTTCTCTGTTTTTCAAGAGGATCCATAAATGAGGGACTCTCATCAGGAACAATCACAGACTGATGATGATTGTTTTTCAGCAGGATGTCCTCAAAAAAAAATCTTTAATTTCCCAAAACAAACCTTAACACTGTTTTAATTTATCTGAACATTGGAATTTAAAGTCAGATTTTCAACATAAACATTTTTACTTCTATTTTTGTCCAAATGAGTTGATCTTTAGCAGAAAAGTCAAACATTTATCAATATTCATAAAATCACAACACAATTCTTACCTCTTCTTTTACCCCTTTATATTTCACTGGTTTTCAGCTGAAAACCGAACACTGTTTATAGAAAGAAATCAATTGAAAACTGAATATTTAGTCTTAAAGCTGCCAAGTGTTGAGTATTGTTGTGATTAAGTTCATATTTTAAGAAGAATTTGACAACCTTCCTGAAAATAGTCCATGTGTCACTTATAGCCCTTTACTTTCACTTTTCACCAAAGTCCAAAAAATGAAAATGAAAGTCTTGCTCATAAGAGCTTTAAATTTAGATTTTTGATGTCTGCAAACATCCTGAGGTCTTGTCATGAAGCCACTGACTTTAGCAGAGCTGGAAAAATAAACCTGGAGTTAGTGCACAGTAAACCTAAAGTCCAGCCTTCACAGATCTGGCTTCCTGTTCTGTTCTTCGAAACTTTTTTGGTTCTTAAAATGCTGAAAAAGAGGAAGCCATATAACCCAGTGGACAGTTATCAGAGCTCTCATCATATACTGTTGTTATGAGGTCTTCTGTGGTAAACGCTGCCACTTTGAATGATGTTGAATCCTGTTTGCCTCCTTCTCTTCATCAATGTAGGACCCAGATTATATGTACAAACAACTAATTTTAAAGTGATTCTATGCAACTGTTTCACTTTGAATGTTAACCTCAAATAGACAAGTTGATAGTCTGTCTGTGGAGGTTGAGATAACACACAGCTTCTCTTGCCCCAACTTTGGCATGATAACAAAACCATGTTATTTTTTATTTGGTAAATCCTGTGCATCTGGCTGTCCCTGCAGTTGGAAACAGCCAGTAACTGTTTGGTCGTCGTGTTCTGCAGGTCTGTAGCGGAGCAGGAGAGGCCGTTCGCTCTGGGAATGCAGTTTGTTCTCCTCAGGACTCTCGGTGAGTAGAATCACCTCAGGACAAAAATGGTGACAGAGGATTTCAGTGTCCGATATTTTCACTGGGTTCTGTTTGACATGGAAAAAAAAAAAGTCTTGATTTAAAGGGGAGAATAGCTGAGAAGATCGGTGTCAATCTTTTTAAAAACCTGTATCAGCATAGGCGTACCAGAGGAAGACGAGCGTCAGCTAAACGCACTGGTTGTAAATAAATGCACCACACGTCCTGTAACTGCTGACCGATGGGCTGATTGAGCGTTAGGAAATGAGATTTTGTCTTTTTAATGCCTCAACATCACTGTTCTCTTGAATCAGGAGTGAGGAGGTCAATTGGGTTCGATATAGGGGACGTCCAGAAAGCTGCTGTCAAGACGAATTAGCAGGAAACGGTTACAGACTTGCTGTGGAGCGTTTGAAAGACGTGGTTTTGAAAGATGCTGGAGTTTTGCATTATGGGAATTGGATCCAGCATTTGAGCTTATTTCTGCAGTGTTGATCCTTATTTTCCAACAACTTTATTGAAGTGCAATGCTGAGTCACTGGAGTCTTTTCTCACGGAGATGATTTAGATTTCCTCAGTTTGGTCAAATTCTGTCGGAATTCTAATTTTCCTGCTCATGAGTTTCTCTCACTGTCCTTCTTTTCACTCTTTTTCTCCACTGTTCTTTTATATCTTTCCCCTTTACTTCATCTTCTCTTATTTCCTTCACCTCCCTCTTGTCTTTCCTCACTCTGTTTCTTTCCACTTTCTCCTTTTTATTCACTTTCTTGTTGTTTCTCTCTTTCTTCCTCTGTCATGTTTTCTCTCTTCCTCTCTTCTCTCTCTGTCTTTTCCCTCTTTTCTCCACTCAGCCTACATCCCGACACCCATTTACTTTGGCGCCGTCATCGACACCACCTGCATGTTGTGGCAGCAGGACTGTGGCGTCCACGGCTCCTGCTGGGAGTACGACGTCACCTCCTTGCGCTTTGTCTACTTCGGCCTCGCAGCCAGCCTCAAGTTCCTTGGCTTCCTCTTCATCTTCCTCACCTGGTACTCCATCAAGTACAAGGAGGAGCGGGTGGAGCGCTGGCTCAAGCGCCACCTGTCGCCCGTCGACACCGTGGGCAGCCTCGTCTGCCACCCGGGTGGCCACAAGGGCCACGCCCGCACCCGCTCCTGCCCCGTCAACATCCCACGAAGCGACCCCAACACACTGCCTGCTAACGCTCCGCCACGCGCCGGCGCCCTCAACCGTGGCGTCAGCACCCAGAGTTGCCCTGGCAACGAGCTAAAAGCAATAACTCCAACCCCTCCAGGTGTGCCATCACCCGCAGCGACACCCGCCCCCGCGCCGGCCCAGTCGCTGGAACATGTTTCGGTGCGAGTCTGAGTTTCAGACGCGGGGCGGGCGATGAGGCAGGGTCTCACTGACATCTCTTTTATTCTGAAATCTAGCCAGTCGTCAGGTGGAGGTCCTGCTGTCATCTCAAAACTCTTATGGCTAGTAAAACGCTCAGAACAGCTTCTCAATTTTGCCTGCACCACCAGAACCATTAACTGGAGAGTCCGGATTTATTCTCAACCTCCAGATGACAGGTGGGGTGACGAAAAGTCGAACTCATGTGGGGACCGCCCGGACCTGGAGACCCTTCTCTGACACGAGAAATCTGCTTGGTTGGTGAAAATGTTGAAAGCGGGCCAGGTGTTTTCTTTGTTACCCACCAGCCACTGCAGCAAGCGGACAAAGGCTTTGCTTCCCCCGCTCGGGACAGTGGAGAGTTCATCGCTCACAAACCCCAACTCCCTCTCCCCCCACCCACACAGACACACACACACACACCCCCTCGGCAATACGTGCCTTCTGTCACCACGGTCCTCACATGTATATTACATGTACAAACACACCCACACTGGACGTCTCTCAGACTGTGGTCACCCTGTAGGAACGAGACTGATCTGAACAGATACCTCAGCTTCACCAGTCCTCCTGCTTCCCCCCTTTCACTTCACGTCTGTATGTTTCTTCTTCTTCATTTGTGTTTTTTATTTCTTTCCCCTCATGTCAGTCATTTTTTTTTCTCCGGACACCGCATACCAGAAAAAAAAAAAAAAAAAAAAAAAAACAAAAAAAAAAAAAAAAAAAAAAACCAAAAAGCAAAAAAAATGGGCCCAAAACATTGTTTTTTTTTTTTTTTTTTTTTTTTTTTTTTTAAGAGTTAAAAACATTTGAAAAGAACCCAAGTGGACAACAGGTCACTGGGCTAAGCAGCTTGGCACGCACAGAATGCATTCCTGTCCGATGCAAGGCCTTTTGTTGCTCCCCTGACACAATGACACGTAGTATTACTGCTGGAAGTCGGATTGTTTGGCTTTTGCCAGCTCCATACAATGCATCCATATATCCGAGCTGTTCCCTCACCCACCCTCCTGACTGGCACCCTGATAAGTGGTTTAACCTGAAAAGAACAGGATTGGCATTTTCCTCCTGACCACATTCCTGGCTGAACGAGTCGCCGGGATCCTCCACACGGCTGGAAGAAAAAAAAAAAAAAACATGCTTGAAGAAGTCTTTCTGAGTTTGGACTTGGAAAGCGCACTGCCTGTATTTCAATGAAAGATACAGCCAATCATGTACCAACAGCAACATCTGTACTAAACATGTAGGAAGACAAGTAGTCGACCGTCATGTAGAGGTCATAGTGTAGTCGTCTGTTCTCCACAAATGAAAGCTGCTGGTGAGTTTTGAGAAGAATCCTGGATAGAAAGTTAGTTTCTGGTCCCGCGTCCAGATGTACTACCAATGATTTATGGGTAATGACCTTCTTGCCTGAAAGAATAAGATGTGCAGTTTTCTTCACCACATGCCAGACCAGACAAAGTGTGGAAAGTAAAAAGAAGGCAACAGTTTTCAAGTTTATTAAAATCACAGGGAAAGGCTACTGATCACTGCAGCTAATGATTGTTTTTTTTAAATCTATAAATCTACTGATTATGCTTTAAAATTAAACAGTGAATTGTTTGATTAAAAAAAAAAAAAAAAACATTTTTTTTTAAGTCAAAAACAGTGAAAAATGCCCGTCACAATTTCCCTGAGCCTGAGGTGACACCTTCAAATGCATTTTTTGTTCAGAGAAAAGCAGCAATTCTTCGCATTTGAGACACTGAAAGTGTTAAATGTTTAGTGTTTTTGTTTGTTAACTGAGTTTAATCGATTATCAAAAATGTTATTGATCATGTTTGTGTCTGTTTACTTATATTTTTAACACTGTATTGTCCCCAGGCAAGTCATTGTTTTGACAGTTTAGGCCGAGGAGTTGAAGAAATTCTTGCTGCAGTCGTTTCACAAAGTCATAACTACACTATAAAAAAAATCTCTGTTGTATCAAGTCATTTCTTGTCTGTTATTGGGCTGTTAGTCGTCTTAGAAAGTAATGAACAAACTTTTGACAGAACAATCTCACCCCAAACTTCATTTTGTTTTCGTCCTGGAGCTTTCCATCATATCAGATGGTCTTCCTCAGCAGGTGAATGCACAGTTGCCATAGAGGTGTCGGCATGGTTAAAAGTTCTATTTTATCCGAACTCTTAAAGGATCCCACCACAAGATACATTTAGTAACTTGTGATCAAGTGATCCGAAAAAAGGACATTTAAATAAAACCAATTCCATGAGAACTGGGTAGCATCGGTTGTTGAAGATCATGTGCTATGATCAAAAGCTCCAGAACAGCCACTAAATGGAGCCTGGAGGAGACATTGTTTAGTCAGTTGTTGTTTCCAATAAATAATATTTGTGAAGTAAAAAAAAAAAAAAAAAAAAACGAAGAAAATTGTTGATTGGTTGAAATGATCTCACCTTTGAGACTCAATAACAGACAAAAAACTTACTTAGATGTTTTTTTAAGCAGTGGAGAAACATCACATTAGACATGAAAACCAAAATCCTTTAATTTAGTCATTTTTCAATGAGTGTCTGACATTTTAAAGAAGAATAATGTACCTAAAGAAAACAGGGAGAAATTACATTTTTTTTATGTTTGAGTAGTTAAAATTCAACCACATTTAAATCTTATTCTAAAATTAGTTGGTTGGTACAATAGTGAAAGTTTGGGATTTAGCGGACTGTGGAAACAAAGAAATGATAATGTAATAATTAGAATTTTATAAGAAACTAATAATTGTGAAATTGAAATACCAATATTTTACTTTGAAAACCATCTGTTTGAATTCATGTGGTTTGATTTAATTTTTCTGGTTCACAAAAAAAAGAAAAAAATGAGGTGTCTGGGGTTTCTTATAGTCAAATAGTTGAATTTGTCTTTGTTGGATCACATGACTAACTGACCCCAATGTTCATGTTTGAATTTTTTTGAATGTTGAATTGGGGCGTCTGAATGTCACCAATTTATTCTGAGCAACCAGATTTTTTGAAAGTTGAATTTGCTTGATTTTATTAGATTAGTGTCTTGAATATTCAACATGTTGATATTTTTAGAAATCCTTTTGTGTTTTTGAAACTGCTCCTCTTCAAATAATTATATGGAACACATAAATTCAGACAAATGATTTTCAAAGTGAAATATTTCAGGGATGTAAATTGATTATTCACTAATGATTCACAGTCAAATTATCACTCAATCACACGAGTCAAATTTTTATGGCGATAGTTGATTCCACTGTTTGATTACTCTGTAAAATGAGGTGATGTTTTAAATGGTTGGGGTAACACAGTATTCATTTAAAGCAGTATTACCACTCATTTCCTAAAGAGCAGCCTCCTCGCTCACGATGGTCCGTGTTACAGAAATGTGAATCATCATATTTGTTACAGATTTCTCCTTTGCACTGTTTTTTATTTTTTTTTATTTTATTTTATTTTTTTTCTCTTTTCTTGTTTATCCTGAATCTTCAGACCTCAATGAAGACATAGTGTTCAGGTCTGTGGTGCTGCCTGTGGAGGTTCAGCGTTTCATGTATATACACATACAACATGCAGTCGGGTTAGTTGCTGTCCTAAGTGGACACCTGCTGGTCACACGTGGAACAGCATGTAGAGAAACGAAGGCAAAACAAAAACACGAGAACAACCAAAACAGTTTGTTTATCAGGAAAAATCAAGTGTGGATAGTGGGGTGTGTGTCTCATGTAATCAGTATTTTTACATTTGAGAGCAGTTTTCTTCACATGTGGAGAAGCTGAACCAGTTAAGTTTTGGTAACTGGGTAATAAAGTAATCATTCAGGTCCAGTAGATCATTTGTCAACACTTGGAAACATTTCCAAAATCCTTTTTTTTTTTCTCAACTTAAAGTAGTTTTTAACCTGTTTAATTTGCTGCAACCAAACAAAAATATGACAAAACTTAATTAATCTTCCCTATTTTGCATTTCTAAGCAAAATACAAATATTTAATTAATGGTTTATAGCACATTTATAAGCAGGTGTAAGGACAGTAGTTTAGCATTTTTAGTTTTTGTCAACAATTGTAACTTCTCCTCTGAAGATATTTCATATTAGAGAATAACTAAAAGTGAGAAACTGACCAAGCATTTGATGCCATTGTTGATATTTGACAGTTTCAGTGATACTGACCGACTCGGTCAAAAAGTATAAAGAGGTTTTTATGTCAGTACACAAAAGGAAATAAAAACAACGCCTTGCTTGTCATGCTGCTGTGACTTGAAATCAAAAGGTCCATTTACATCTATCCTAATTTTATGTACTATCACTTTTTAATTTTACATACAATCGTAAAATACAGTAAATCTTTCTTGTTGGAGCAAGTTCATGGTTTTTCATATTTGTGGGATAAATGAGAGTTTGAGGATTTTGGAAATGTCTTCAGAACAGCCTTGAGGTTTTTCAAGCATAATTTAGAGGTTAACTGTGGCTCACATCTGTTTGGAAATGTAAAAACATCGATAACATGAGAGACACAAACTGGAGCTGATTTCTTTTCCTTTTTTTTTTTTTCTTTTTGATGACTTTCAAGGCTCCAGTGATAAAATAATAAATAAAAATCTAAATTTTGGTGCACAGATGTATATTAGAGCTCACGTTTTGTGCAAAAAGATGATTTTCTTTTTTTTTGTTTTTTTTTGCAGTATCTAGATAAACATTTAAGATGGGGGAGGGGTCGGCGAGGGGTTGGACAATAATGACACACAGCAATGAAGAAAAGTCTGAGGGACACAAAGAAACTACTTTTCAATAAACAATGATGGGGTGGGGTGGGGGGGTGTAGTCGGGGATCATCGTACGCCTGAACAAATAGCAGCGAAGAAGAAAACTTGACGCATGGTTTCAGTACTCAACACAGTAGTGACAGTAGACTTAGAGTAGACACATAAAACGACATTCCATTTTCATGTAAAGCCAGAACAACAACAACATACAAATCACAACTAACTCCTAACTGTGTCGGTCCGTGTTGTGTTAGTGAAGCACCGAGATAAATAACTCATCCACCTACTGTGCGTTCTGTTTCTCTGTGCCTACACTTCACATTTTGAAAACTGCTGTTTCCGTTTGTTTACGTGATGCGTAAACTGTTGAGCTGGTGTTGCCGTGTCAACCCAGAAACAATGAGGATGAAACGTTGAGGCCGTCTTTCCCATCGCTTCTATGTAAATCTTAAAAATGTAGATCAGGGTTATACTTGTTTTTCCTTTAAAAACAACAGCTGCTGTAACACTTTTGATGAGTTCACTTTTTCTTAAATTTGATTTAGTGAAAATACAGTTTTCTCTTGGGCGTAGTTTACTAAAAATAACAGTATTAATAGTGTTGTTCCATATTTTTCTTTCTTCAACAAATCCCGTGAAAAGTCCAAAAGAAACAGTTCGTAGTTTGTCTCTGACTTCCCTCCTCTGTCTGGCTCCAAACATTCTCCTGCAGATGTAAATCTTTAAAAACAGTTCAAAAATAAAAGGCTCATTTATGTCCTAAAACAACTGGACACAAGTTTTTAACAAGCGAGTAAAAACTGCATTTGTTGGGGACTACTTCCAGTGGTGGATTAATCCACATTTGCTGCTTCAGTGAGTATTTGGTGCGGCAGGCAGCAGCAGGTATAAGATGCAGGTGGTCTCAGAGTTTCATCCTCATGTTGTTGACTTTCTCTGACGTTTCTGTTGGTTTCCGTGCCGACACCAGCTCCAGGACTTTACCGCATCACTACCATTTATCCTCCTCTGCTCGTCTCACATCCTCTTTTGGAGAGAAGGAGGCAGTTTACCTCCATGTTGTCGTTTCATGTAGTAATGTGGCATCATTTCCAGACTGTGATTACACACAAAGACTGAATCTGTATGAGCTCCTTCAGACAGATGAAGGTTGGTTTACTATCCTTTTTTTTTTTTATTTTTTTTTATTATTATTACTATTGTATTTATTTCAAAAGGACAGTGTTTTTGACTGAAAGACCACACTGAATAGAGGCAACATGTAGATTTGTGGACACAATGTTTACAAATGCCTTGGATACTTGACTTCGGTCAATAAAAATGTGAAAAAATAATAAAACAGTATTACAGAAACTGTTGGTTTGTGGATTTCCTTCTGTGTGCAAATGTCATGTTTGGTTTTTATGCAGTGGTAAAGTTGACGTGTTGCTGGTGGTTTAACATGGTTTCTTCTTTATGGAAACAAACTATTAACGTAATATTTTGAATCTTATAAACAAGTGAATTTCTAACTGCTGAACCACTACCAAATATTCAAGGTTGAAATAGACATGAATAAATAGGGACCAAATACAGAGCCTTAAACATTTTTATCTAATTAGTAGTTGTAATTTATTTAATGTATTCTTTTAGATCAACAAATAATCTGCTTTTTCCAAAATAAGTTTTAAGTAATTCTTACTTAATTCCAGGAGTTTTTATTCAAAATTATCCTGAAATGTGGTTTCATAAAATACAACTAGCATTTAAAAAAAATAAAAACATACTTTGGAAAAGGGAAGTTTTGAGATAAATACAGCAGGACATAAATGGAAATAAATTTAACTTTTATTTTGAAAAGTAGCATAAATAACATTTAATAATACTAAGCTGAAAAATATGAGGCTCCCCGCCCCAATTATGTAGTAATTATTTATTATATGTCCAATTTATTACATTTTGAACACTTTGGGCCCCTGTAGTTAAGGAGAATACTGATGCCATAAACAACAAAAAAAGCTGAATACTGGAATCAAAAGTAAAATGACAAAAAAGGACAAACACACTGAGTTTCACATTTTAATCATTCTATTTTACAGACAAGCTTTTTGGTAAAAACAAAACCACTGGGCTTGCAAGGCATGCATGAAGATATGTACACTTTTTTTTTTTTTTTAAATTTCCACTCACATCAGCGGCTTTTGAGAGCAGTTTACAGCTCTTCCAGTTCAGTATCCCCAACATTCAGGTGTAAATGCTGCAGATCTTTATAATATTGTTCCATGCAGGTTGTTTCAGTGTTTTTTCAAGAGCAGGAAGTCTGAAAAATCACTGAATACATTTCTAAGTCGTTTTAACTAAGTAAATTGTAAATATTTCGTCTCATTTGCTACAAACATGGTCCATAAACTCAATACTGGCCGAGAAATCCTTCTTTTCTATGCAGTCTATGGAGCGAGCTTATTTTCCTTTACAGTGACTTCAAACTCAAGCAAGTGAAAATGATCAACAAATTAAAAAAGTAAACATGACATCGGAAATATAAGACATGATTACCTCAGAGAAGAAATAAATGGTTTGTTTGATACTGAAACTGATCTAAAATATATTGATTTAATCTTTTTTAAAAACCAAATTCTTCTTGGGGCATCTGGGAGCTTCAGACAAAGTGCAAAACAAAAGTCCTAAAACATAACCACAAGTCATGACACTGAAGTAGCTTTTAAAGCAGCACGTTTCCAATCTGTGTACATGCAGAAGGCTGTTATCAGAAACTGAAGTGCATTCGTGGGGTGCAAGTTTACAAAAACTTCTTTTTAGATGAATAAAAACTAAAATGGCAGAATGTGTAAGGCAGAATTTTCCCTCAGTAGCACAACAGGAGCAGGAGAACAAGGAGAGATCCTGAGGAGAGGAAAAAAAATGGCAATACATGAATGGGGGTTTTGGGCAAGCATCATCCTCGAGGAACATACAGGAAATGTTAGAACATACCTTTTACCTGTTAAATCACCTGCTGAATGAGCCCTTTTTCTGGATCATGTTTATCATCCAGATCCTCATCAGAGTCTGAAAACAAGACAGAAACAAATCAGTGTGAAGATAAAACAGCCAATTCAAAAACAATACAAGCAGGGGCCTTAAAGGAATCATTTGACATTTTGGGAAATACGTTTATTCACTTTCTTGCCAGGAGATAGACGAGGATCGATACCACTCGTGTGTGCGTTAAGTATCAGGAGGCCATTAGCCTAGTTTAGCTTAGCATAAAGACTGGACTCGGGGATACAGGTAACTTGGCCCTGTCCAAAAGGAACAATGTTTTTTAATGTTACATTAGCTATTTATAAAAAAAAAAAAGTGTCGCCTGTCGTTTTTGTAGTCTACTCCATAAATCTGTTTTCTCCAAGAACCTCTGAACGCAGCAGGTCAGGCAGATACATTTTTTTGTTTTGTTTGGGCAGTGAAGGATACCGTTCAACTAATCCGGAGCTACACTGTGTGATTCCACAGGTTGTTGAATAAGACTTTGCACTACAACAGTAATTAGTTAGTTTGTCGTTATAGTTTTGTTTTAATTTGTCACCTTAAGATGTAATTTATTTTGTCCCAGTTCTCATTTACTTTGTTACTTTTTTCATCACAGTTAAAAATGAACTGGCATCCCAAACTGAACTGAAGAACTGACAATTTTAATTGTACATAATATTATAAGTTTGACACTTGATTGTAGTGTTTCCTTCAAAAGAACAAATTAATGAAATGATCTGAGCGACATAAAGCAGCATAAAGTCCGCAGCAGGCTTCAGTTAAACCAGTCATAAACGCAGACTTTGACTGTGGCTTAGATAGAACAAATAGTCAGACTTCAGATAGACTGAGTCTGAATTCATCTGTTGCACAAAGCACTTTAGTTCTTGACTATCTTAAGATGGACTGTACTACAATGAATTCTGGGTAAATTAAGACTTAAAAAAAAAGGCCAACAGAGGAACCACATCCAACCACTGAGCTCCGTTTACCCTCAGCAGGACATGTTTGTCTACTGGAAGAATTCAACCGTTACAAGGACGTTTTACTTTAGAAATTCAGCGAAGAGTTAAACTCAAATATACATACAATAACAAATCATGAGCCTTTTTTTTCCTGTTTTTTTGTTGTTGGGTGCTACTGGTCAGCACAGGTGTCATTATTTGTTACCATGGTACCATGGTCCGTGTTTATTTTTGTGAAACAGTCTGACTTGTGTTAGACTGTTTCACAGTCAAACATGTAACATATCCCCTGGTCTGCAGAACCTCAGAAACAGTGACCTCTACTGGAGCTCAGGTGATTTCTACAGGACACAGCAATAAGGTTCAGATTAAACCACAGGGGCAGTTTAAACTGTAGCTGCTGAGGAGAAATTGGGTTTGACCCGGACGACAGTCCTAAACCTTGAACCACAGCTAAACTGAAGACAAATCAACAGCCCCGCTGAGCCTGGATTACAGCAGCCACACTTCCTATCATCAAACTGGGTTCATGGATCATCAGGAAACAGGTTGAGGTAAGTCTGAGATATTTCGGATGTTTTTCTGGGTTCAGGGTGAGTAAACAGACCTGCCACAGACTCTGGTGGAGAGTAGAACTGTCCGTCAGATAAAGGACCCGGACACATGAGTGGAGCTCGCTCTGTGGCGTCCATGAAGGACTGATACCCTGAAACACAAACAGGAAGACACATGAGGGGGCTGTGACAGCAGAAGGAGCACACGGTCTTAATACTGGTAGACTGTAATAACAATAGGTCTAGTAGAAGTTGCAGAATACTAGTTACATTAAAAGATGTAACAGTAATGATTTAATTATAAAATTGTACCGATATCAATACTAATAGCGGCAGCAGTAGTAGTGGTAGTAACCCTGGTACTATCACCAGGAATAACCACAGTATTACAGTAGTAGCAGTACTAGTAATACAAGTGATAGTAGCAGTAATAGTCATGATACTAGTAGTAGTGGTGATCTTAATATCAACAGCAGAATTGTTATTGTTGGTTGCAGTATTAGTAGCAGTAGTAATGAGGCTGAGGCTATAAGCAGTAGCAGTAGTAGTGGTCACAGTGGTCATAGTACTAATGCAGTAGCAGAGTTATATTAGAGTAACTTTACTGAATTGAATGCTTTTACTTGGAGTGAGTATTTTTACATGGATGTATTGGTACTTTTACTGGAGTAAATATTCTGAATACTTCTTCGGCCACAGAATAATAGTGTTAATAGTTATAATATTAGCCAGGGGTGGACAGTAACAAAGTACATTTACTTAAGTACTGTACTTAAATATATTTTTGAGTATCTGTACTTTACTTAAGTGTAGTGGAGTAAAAGTCATAAGTTTCCAAAACACTAATAGTGAACAGACAAATATTGTACTTTTGCCTCCACTACATTTCTTTGAAGTACTCTTACTCTGAAGCAGAGTTTTTAGGCAGTAGAATGAATTTATTTTTATTTTCTAAAATGTAATAGACCAGAGGTTTTCAAAGTGGGAGGTGGGCCTCACCAGGGGGGCTCCAAACTGTTTCAGGGGAGGCTCAGTGAATGGAAGGGGGGAAAAAAACAATTAACCATTTTCACTAAATCATATTTAAGAAAAAGTGAACTCATCAATTAGCCTAAAGGTGTGTTATTTGGTTAAAGAGATTGTTAAGAAATACAATAGTTCTGGGGGATTTTACTGGGTAGAGTTCGAAATGAATAAAAGGACAGACCTTTTTATGTATTTGGTTTAGTCTCAAGTTATGTCAGACACCAGTATTAGGCTGTCTTGGCTCAATTGTTGAGTGTCTATGGGATCAAATAAGAATCACAATCTCACAGGCATCCAGGAACTGAACAAAACAAAGCAAGTAAACTCAGGTGGAGTGAGGGGGCGTCTTTTATCAAGGTTCATCTGAGGGGAGGCCCACAGTCTCAGACTTTGAATACCCCTGTAATAGACCACACACTGTGTTCATCACAGGAGAAACACCAATCACAAGCAACTCCTCCACCGTCAGTCATCTTGTGCTTTCTGCATTTCTGTACAGTTCAATTTGAAAGAAAGATTCTTCTCTTTTAAATGTTTGCTGTGTTTACCACGACCAGACTTCATCACTGCCTAAAATAAAAAAATAAAAAAATAAGGAAACTCCAATGGCTCCTTTTGTTGATTCAGCTGTGTTTTTATGGCCATTTCTATCAGCTCTGTAGCAGATTACACAAGCTGTTATTGTATAATATGCTGTATGTATTGTTCTACAGTCAGCAGGTTGTTTCAGTCATCAGGTTCTGTAAATGTGGAACAATACTACTACTAACAACACTACACTGACATAAAAAAAACTGTACTTTTGAATAATTTTGTATTCTTAGAATGAAGTTCTCCAGTACTTTAACTCAAGTGAAGATGTGACTGAACAACTCTCACTGGTATTGGAGTCATATCTGACCAGGAAGATCTGTAGAAGATCTAATTCAAGTGACGGAGCTGTGGACTTTGTATTAGCAGTAACGTTAGCAGTGGCATTAGTAACAGTACTAACAGTTATAATAGTGGATATTGTATTAGTTAGTTATTAGTGAAGAGCTGAGTGACTCACTGTTTTCGTCCTCGGCCTCCTGAGGCAGAACCTTGAAGTCTAGCAGCCATGTTTCTATCCACGCCAACACAAAGGAGATGATGGGCAGCAGGTACCCAAAGGCCCCCTGAGACAGCAGCTACACACACACGCATGCACGCACGCACGCAAATACACGCATGCACGCAAATACACACACACACGCAAATACACGCGCGCACGCAAATACACACACGCACGCAAATACACACACGCACGCGCGCAAATACACACACGCACAGAGAGACAGAGAATGACTTTAGTTTTCAGTACACTGACTGTAGTACCTCATCTGATTAAAAAGAAAAAAAAAACAAAGACCTGATAAAGATTTTATTTTATGTAATACCACTTTGTGTTTTTGGTCTTATTTGGGATTTTTAGCCTGAATATCTAATCCTACACTCACAGCTTTGTAGACTGCTGCTAAATAAACTCAACATAGAAAAATTTGAAGCAACCAGGTTCATAAACTGGGGCCTGCATGTTTACAGACAAAGACAACGTTTGGAAATGAATATAAATCATTGTTATTACACAGACTACGTAAAAACATATTAAAAAATGGGGGTTATGCATCAATATTTATATATTCCTTTTGTTTACCAGAAAGTCATTCATAGACAAAGAAATGAACTCCGCTGACAAAAACAATCCTATTATACTCATTTGTTATTTGTGTCAATTATATTTAATAATAACAACAATAATAATAATGATTAACTAAAGGCAACTCAACACAAAGTGGTTTACATGAAAGTTATAATAAGATAAGATAAAACATAAGATAATGTGATGAAAACATTTAAAAGGGGACAAAAACATCATGTTTATAAATAATTATGATAATTAGTAAAAGTAATTAAGCATCAAGCTGATAAACCAATGTTAGATTGTAACTACAACCAGTGATAAGCGGTTCTGACAATGGCCAGCAGGTGGAGTAATGAGTGAGCAGTGGCCTGCTGATGGCGCTGACCTTTTGACCTCTGAGCTGGAACACCACTAATGAAACTGTTGCATAAACTGAAAAGAAATGTGTCTTTACAGTCAGATTAAACTTACCTTTGATAAAATGACTTTAACGATGAGGAAAGCACAGCTGACCGCAGTGGTGATCTGCACAGACAGAGACGCCATTAGACTCAACCAGGAAACAGAGGGTGTGAAAAATACAGGGGGTGGACAAAATAATAGACCTTACACCTTACAACACAATAAAGACCCCCTGCATGAGTCAGTTTATTTTAAATCTCTTCTTAAAACTGAGAAAAACTTAAAAAGTTTATATTGATTTTCACTGATCGCCCTCTTGCTCTTCCTTTGGTCTATTTGCACCAAGACACTTTAATTTGTATTTCTGATTGCTTGTTTTAATTACAACCTGCATGTTTTATTTTGCTGCCTTGTGTAGAGCACTTTGTAAAGTGAAAAGTGCTCTATCAATAAAGATCATTATTATGTTTTATTTCAGTTTCTTTAAAGAAAATTTTGTTCTTTTTATGAAGCAGAGAAAATAGTGCCTGAGCCATCTCACATCCAAAACTCTGAATAGGAAAAATCACATTTGTTCCATCTTCCATTAAGACTGAAAAGCAGCAGTGAAATGCTGTTATTGCTGGAACTTATACCTGCTGGTACAAATAAAGAAACACTGTCATATGATGGCAGGAAAAACTTACCGCGATGGCCCACCAGTGACGAAGCTTACAGACGGCGTACGCCAAGATGAGAGCGGCAAACCTGAAAACAGCCAGGAGCTGAGGGAGGACAGGAAGAAAAGACATGGGAGAAGCATAGAACAGAAAATGTGAAGAAGTAAAGGGGTGAAGAAAAAATGAGAATACAATATAACAATAACAATAGGATAAAAAAAAAAAAAACAGAAGAAATGGAGAAAGCAAGGAAGGAAACACAAGAAGGAACAGAGAAAATGGGGGGGGACCGAAGGAAAAAAAGGTATGAACAAAGTTGAAAATTTAAACATGTTTTTGTTTAAACTAATTATGAAAAAAATTGAAAGTCTTACAAAGATGTCGAAGAAAGAGGCGTGGTAGTCGTAGTGCAGGACTTCTTTATCCAGCTGCTGCTGAATGCCGCCGTTCACCTGTCACACAAACACAAACTACTGATCAATACAAAACTCCCTGAAAACGTTCATCTTCTCATTTTTACTCACACTGGTGATCACTATCATTTACAGCCTCTAAAGATGAAAAAGATTTGGTAGAAAAAAAGCAATTTAAAAACATTTGTTTATGTTGTGTTCATGTTAAAAAATGAATATCGGCCAATATATCATCAATTAGATTTTGGAATTTTGAAGGAACAGTTAGACATTTGGAGAAATACAAAGACTGGAAACAGCTTGCACAGTTAACACATTATATAACTTTTCTTTACCCCCCCCCCCATAAAAATGGCAGATTGTTGGCTTTACACTCTGCTCATGAGCGGATTAAACAAACTAAATGTCAATTAGTGAGGTAATTTAGAGCTGCTGATGGGCGGGTAATACAGAACAGCTGTGTTTTGAGGGGTTGCATTTATACATTCCTACATGTAGTTCATGTTGTTTGTTCATTCCTTTTAATTCATTAGGAATAACACTGACTTTTAAAATTGTTTTAGGATTGTATGAGGGCAGATGCCCTAATTTCCATCGGTTTGTATTTACTCAGTTACAACAAACAAACTTGTATCTACAGTAGATTTATGAAAAATCATGTTGATTTTCTGACTGCTATTTGCTTTCCACTGATATAAAATAACTTCATCAATTGGAGGAATGTTGAAGCCCGACTAAGCCCAAACACTGGACTGAAAACGAGAACTCTAATCCCTGTTTGACTGGATTCAGTTCACTCAGCTGCCTCATCAGTCCCGGTGGTATCATCAGTATGACTGGAAACAAATATCTGGCTAAAAGTGCCACTTGTTGTGGAAACTGTTTTGGTGACTAAACTCAGCTTTGGAATTTCCCTCCACAATGATTTATGTGTTACTTGTTGATGAAGTTTTATCACAGACAGATGCTGTTTGTCCTCAGCACCTTCTCAAACTGTGTCTCTACATGGAAGACTGACTCAACTACAGGTGTATATTTACACAACTACACAAATACCTACTTTTAATATGGTGTTCAGTTGGGTTGGTGGGCCCAACACTCAAATATACATCAGCAGACTTAATATCAGTTAATTTGACAATTACTTTTAGATTTAAATAGTGAGAAAAAAAGGCCACCGAAATTTCCGAGACATCTATATCTATGTAAATATCTAAGATATGATGTTATATTGTATTTGGATCAAGTAGATAAGTTGATAAATAAGTAGGCTACAGCTGTTATTTCAATCAGGCAAGTGAAATGTTGGTAGATCCCGAGCTGTTGCATTGTTTTCTAAGCCTGGGCTGGGGTCAGAACAGAGCTATGTTAACAACCAGACTAGTTATATTTAGTGTTACAGAGAGGAAGGAAAGAAAACTTCTTGAAAGGCAGGAAACCTCTAAGTCAACATCTACTTCATCTACATCTACGTGCGAGTTCCAGGCAAACCTGAGACGTCAGTAAAACCAGGTTTAAAGTCGCGCACAGTATAAAAACCTGAGTGTCATGAATGTGAGTCACTGGAATGTCCTCTCAAATAAAGTCATACAAAAAAGTGCGAGGGTGAGCCCCCCCTCCCTCCTGTGTACACAAAAGCTATTTCAGTGCTCGAGGTTGACTTTGCTGAATCTGGAGCATTCTGGGAATGTGTGCCGCGGTACAAATCACTTCCTCATTCAGGGCGCAAAGTTTTACAGCAGCGTGACCTCGATTCACTTCTCCAGCAGCACCTGACCCGTTTCTGTTCAGCTTTGACACAATTCATACAAAAACAAAAAAACACATTGGACCGTAAACGCATCAGTGTGCGTACAGTTGTAGATACATTACAAGCGTACTTATCTGTGTTATGAGTGTTACGTACAATACAATAAACTGATGATGAACAAGGGTCAGCTGAAGTCATCACCTGACACTGGTGATGTTAATGTTTGGTTAATGTTTGGTTAACGCAACATATCAAATAGAATAAAACCCGTTCAAATGCACAATACATTTCTCCCTTGATACAAGAATCCCAGCGGCTGAATTAAAACAAAACTACTGTGAACTGATGCCAAAAGCCTGAAGACTAAAAGTTTGGGTTTTGTCTTTACTCTATTTTTAGTCTGTGAACATAGAGGAAATTTTCAACAAGTTATTATAATCTCTGCACAAGAATTAAAAATATCTAAAGAGGTATCTCTCTGGAGAATTCAGGGAGTCTGTTTTTATCCACTAAATGTACAGACACTGTGGCAGGATGCTATGGTGGCTAATTAGCACATCTGCAGCAAAACCTTGAGTCTCTTATACAATACACTTATTTTTGTTTTGCACTGAAACGTCCTTTTGCTTTTAGCTTCTTCAGTTCACCACTTTGGTCCAGACTGAAATGTCTCAACAAATATTTGATGGCTTGCCTTGACATTTGCTGGAGACATTCAACTAATACTAATGCTGTGTCTCAGTTCACGTACTATTGTATACATTATTTCTAATTTATTTTTTGATTCTGTTTCTATTCTGACTTTATTTCTTATGACTTATGACAATCCCTTGTGCTGCTCTGTCAATTTGAATTTCCTCTACAGGGGATCAATAAAGGTACATCTTATCTTATCTTATATTATCTCACTCACACTTGCTATTTTGGGTGAATAAGCTCATTCACAGTGAAAAGTACGGCAACATGCAGTGCACTGTAAGTACCTGGATTGTGCACTTAAAATGCTGGTGAAACTTGGTGAAAAACGGAGACCACGAAAGGAGGACGCATCATCTGCATTGATGGCGGCCTAATTTCCATGAAGCATGACACAAGTGGCACACACAGGAAAGTACAACACAAATTCTGAAGTCAAGCGAGCAGAGCAGCAGGAGGGCGACCATCGCCAGGTCACCTGTTGCGATCGTCATTTCCGTTGAGTGCACGACAACGCTTTGATTTTCAACGCTACCCTGTTGAAACTGACGCACTATGCCACTGAGTATTCTGTATACACAGTTTACTACATGTGAGGGTACTGCCTGAAGTTCCCCCGATTTGAGACACAGCACAAGACGTTGGTGATCGCCTGACTGTTCCTTTCGAGGCTGACGTTTGTGGTGTCCAGTGAAATATCTCTACTCTCATTGGATGGGCGGCCAAAACATTATAGTATCCAGTAATTTGTTTTAATGACACTCCCATCATCATCAGGACAAGATTGAAGATGGAGGGGAGAGTCAGAGATCCGGTTTCTAAAAATCACAAATGAAACGTTGCGTCTCCCCCTGAAAACTCTCATTAATCTCTGAAACATTCATTCAGTGTCTGACTCACATCCACAACACAAACAGCCAGGTCTTACATTGAGCTCTATGATCCAGAGCAAGGTGATGAACAAGAGGTCAAAGGTGACGAAGAGGCAGAAGGTCCTCCTCACGTCAGAGATGCACTTCTTCTCCACGGCTTCGTACGACTCCACCCTCGCGCAGATGGGCGTGGTGTTGATAGAGCCCAACCCTCTGCCGGTCAGCCGTGAATCGGCGCTGCTGCTGCATCGGCTGTCCATCGCTGGCCACGCCCACTCTGGGCAAGGCTGCCCGCCCCCCTGCTCGCCCACTGGTTAACGCTGGGAACGTGGACTCACTCAGTAGAGGTAAACTGCATCACTGCATCTGCAGGGAGGGAGAAGCAAAAGGTCATAAAACAATGTTACTCTCACAAGGAGTAAACAATGCATTTGGTGGGGACTACTTTTTGCAGCGGATTGCTGAATAACTGAAACGATACATTTCTAAAGCAAAAAGAGCAGGAACCAGAAGACATGTTTCAGTGGAAATATTACATGAATGGACAGTCGGGGGAAGTGAAGCTGCTTATCATGCAGGGGTGATTTGAGAAGTTCTGACCTTTGACCTCAAACACCAGACTCAAAGTAAACTTTAATCCTTTAACATGTATGTTACACTTCTCTTTACTGTTGGGCAGGAATAACGTTAAAGTACCTGAAGTCACCGTTTCAAACTAACTTTCATGTTTCAAATGCTTCACTGGAAATAAATCATCTATCTATATATATTGCTTTCGGGAACTTTGTAAAATGATTGCTACATGACGCAGTCATTTTCTGGGTGCTATGACTTTGGGCCTTGACCTCCATATAACTGCTGTTGTTCACGATGTCTGTGTTTTAGGAAGTGAAGCCAAAACTGTAATCGCTCTGATATAGACCAACTGAAAAGACACTCTGCTGGAACCAAACTGTGTCCTCTCTCTACACGTTGTAAACTGGTCGTGTGGTTGAACGTGATCTCATGATTTTCATATTTTACACTTGAGTCAGAAATAAGCTTCATCTCAGCACTGATTTTTTTTTTTAAAGCCGCATTAAGTGATGTTAAACTCGTCACCAAACCTCTGGTGGTAGCAGTTTATAATTGATCAAGGCACAGAACTGAAAACAGAACAATTCTGTATGAAAAGGAAAACATCAAGCAAAGAAAACTGTTAACTCTCACAAGTCACATCATGCGCTGTCATTTCCCCTAAAACTAAATCCTTCACCAATTGCAGCTTCCTCTTTACATGTCACAGAGCTTTTATAGCTGCACCAGACTAAATGTGTACACTGATTTAACCCTTCGATGCTTTTGGGCAGTTTTTTCTTTTTGGGAAATATTTTTCTATGACCAAAATGTTTCAGCATTTCAAGTTTATCACATTGTAAATGCAGCTGTAGCTGGAGGGCTGCTGTAATGCGTCCACTCGCAGTATTCTGTAGTGGAAACTGAAATCAATTCTCGTCTAGTCCTGATGAGAGCTGGTACTCGAATACCAGTTGACAACAATATTCCTAATATCTATATCTATCTATAAGAGCCACTCACCTGCATTCATCTGCGATGTGACACATCTACTCATAAGAGCATAATCATATTGGAAAACACATTATAACAAAGGAATTTCCATCATAGATTAAAAACAGAAATAGGTAATTTGGGATTAAAATGGTTCTATTGTTCTATTTTTAGTGACTGTTTCTTATCCTATGCTTTTAAAATGGCAAATAATAATCAGGGAGTTAAAATAATTAGTCTGAATTCAAATTATGAAGACACGTGCAAAAAAAACAAAAAAACATTCAAATTCATAAAAGGTCATAAAATTAAAAACCAAACAAAGATATGTATGTGTATGTGTATGTGTATATATATATATATATATATATTTGCTCCTTTTCACCCATCTACCTTTAATACTACATTATGATTATTATTACGATAGTTGAAGAAGTTTTTATTGATGTTTTCAATACTTTAATGCACTGAAAAGTCGTCAACATTGCTGGAGCCTGTTGTTCTTTATACAATCAGATTCTGGCTGAGACAGAAACATAAATATCTGTGTCTGAGAAAGCAACACACTAAGAGGATGAGAGTTACAACTCAAAGGAGTTTCCAGGGGACACTAAAACCTCATGTTCAAAGGTCCTGACACAAGAAACAAGTGCCGGGAAACAAATGTAAATTGTTTCCTGTTTCTGTGGTTGATAAAAAAGTTTCTGTCACAAAAAAACTCTGAATTGGAGTCGATACTAAGCTAATTCCTTTACTGCTGCAGGGATGCCAGTTTTACATAAGTGAAACAGAAATGGATCAAAATTGGCAAACACTCGATATTAAAAGGACTCAGGTCGGGGCAAAAAACCTACATCATGACATCCCTAATTTTAACATCCACGCCGGTGAGTTCAGTCTGATATTCACTCTACTTTCAGCTCTGTTTTGGTCACCACCAACTCCTAAAAGGTTATATATGTTTCTTGAGCTGCTAAATGCTCCTCTATGTTCACAGCTGGTCTCTTACTTTGTCGGAATATTTCACACTTTTCTGATGTTTTATTTTAAGTGTTGATCCATAAGATATATTTGTGGTTTTAAGAACCAGAAACCATCTCAACAGTTTTACACTTCCTCTCAGAGCCTGTGAGCCTCTCTTCTGATTAGCTTCATATATATATATATATATAATATCTGATTCAATAAAGGAATTTAATAACAATAACAAATAAGACACAAAATTGCTGAAAGTAACATTTTCTGAACATTTATTGAACATTGCTGTTTGCATTGTCTGCAAACAGATCTGCACTCTTCAGTGCACTTATGTTAAGTTAAAAAAAAAAAAAGTTAACCTAAATGTCCACAGGTAAACTTGTAAAAAAGTAAAATAAATAAAGTTTTAGTACACTTGAGAAAATAAAAAATAAACTTACATAAATAAAAAAATTAATAAACATAGCAGCATCTCTTCTCCCCAGTTAAACAAAGTTACTCAGTTGTCCCAGTTTATGAGCTGCAAGTTGTAATGCAGGGAAGAAAGTTTCTCAGCATTTTCCCCAGTGAGCCTTTCCTTCTCATAAATGGTCCCAATCTCACTGACTACTCTCTGCTACGAACAAAGTCTCCGTCTATGGTGTCGGCATTCATTTTCTGTTTAATCGGCCGATGCTGATTATGGAAAAATGCCGTTGATCGGCTCGATTAATCGGTCGACTGCTACTTGTCATAATTTGATTTATGGTTAATATAAAAATGTTGATTAGTGGGTCATTAAGGAGAGAAAGACACAAACACAACTATAGCTGTCAATTAATGAATTAGTCGACTGATATAAAATTAATCAGCAACTATTTTGATAATGAATTGTTCGTTACAGTAAATGTTTTGTGCAAAAATTGTGAAATAATAAAAAAAATTATGGCTCCATTCGGTAAAATGAGAGGATTTCCTGCTTTTCTTTGTCACACATCATTGTGAGCTAAATATTTTTGGGTTGTTGGTTGAACAAAGCAAGATATTTAAGATGTGACCTTTGGCTCCGCAAAAATGTGATGGGTATTTTTTGACAATATCTGTCATGTTTCAGAAACTAAAGTTAACATACACAGCAGTTAGTCAGTTAAACATAAAATATGATGGTAAACAATGTAATAAGGACTGATCCTAAATTGGTACAGGGTCCAATGCAAAGCAATTAAATGCCAAACACTGACTTCCTCATTTCCAAATGTGAGGACTGCTTTTCTGTGTCTTTCATGATAGTAAATAAAATATATTTGGGTTTTCAAGTGGTGGTCAGACAAACCCAGCAGTCTGGAGACACGACTTTGTGCTCTCGGATATTGTGATGGACATTTTTCAAAATGTTTGACCAAAGGAAAAATATAAGAAAATATTTGTCAGACAGATGAGAACAGAAAATGAATCACTAGTTGCAGTGCTAGATGGGATGGAGAAGTCAAATCCAGCAGATCAAATAAGTGGACTTGGTTCATCCTAGAGTCTAGACACACCTGCAACCAACAGGTAACAGGAAAGACAGGTAATGTTATGATCATATAAAGGGCAGATGCATAAGGAGGTTTCTTAAGTCAATGTCAGAGCCCAAACCAGGTTAGGAGTCAAACTCGGACACAACAGTGTACTTATGACCACACTCCCTGTTCACAAGGCCTGATATGTGGTCCAAACCCCTGCTGATACCGCACAACAACAAAAAAACATGTAATCGTATCATCTCACCAAATGTCGCAGAGATGAACCAGTTAAAAATTAAAACTGCACTACTTGACATTACTGGTGAAAATGTGCAGCTGGACACGGAAACACAGAGACACTGCCTGAGGCGAAGACAGGAGGAGGCCAAACAGCTAAAATAACAATACCAGCGCAAATTCCTCAGCAGCAACACACCTGAGCTGCTTTACCTGATGCACGAGCAAATGCCGAGCGGGAGACGATGAAATGAAATGAAGCAAATCATCCCGGTGCAGCTGTAACGCCGTCCAAGGATGCCATGACACAGAGGTGTTTACAGCATCGTCCAGCTCGTTTGACAACTGGTAAGCTAGTTAGCTTAAAATCGTGAGTTTAAACCGTCGTTTTAAAACGTCTCCTTACCTCTCAAACTGACTCCTTCTGGCGGTTTAAATGTTCTGAAACAGCCCTCAGATGTTTTCAGTCAACCTCAACCTGAAAGCTGCAGCAGAGTCATCTGTTTCCCCTTCGTCTGCTCGCACCGGAAGAAGCTAGGCTGCATGTTAAAGAAAAAACAGACGCGAGGTATTCTGGGATATGAAGTCTGTAGATTACAGTTGACGTTACGTCCCCCCCTAGTGGTCTTGTTGGGTATCAGCAGCTTTTCCTTCTTCGGTCAAAATTGTCTCAATTTCTATTTGGACGTACAATACAATAGTTTTGGGCAGAAAATGTAAAGTAAGGATACTTTAAAGAATAATGTCATGAACAGTGTTTATATCGTTAATTATTTACACATTCATGTTTATGGTTAACTATTTTCATATTTATGTTTATACAATTGTTATTTACATATTTACAAGTATAAATATTTACATGTGCATCTTTAAAAACAGTTACAGTAACCTACTGAATCAATCTCTTATCTACCTTAGTCAAAGTCCTCCTCAGCTCTGATTGGTTAGTTTAGCAACATATGATTTAGAGACAGAAAGTGTTGTGGTTGTGAACATGGAACAGTTAATCCGTCTCCATCCAGCTGTTTCTTTTATCAAGAGCGATCCATACCACCGCGTATTTTACAATTTTTTCAGTAAACACAAAAAAACCCCATCAGTTCTGGGTACGGTTTTTAAGGTATTTGACTGGTACGTTGTGTCATGCATTTTGGAGAACTCGCCACAGTTACAGGACCAGATTAACCTGATAGGGGAATCTGCAGGGGCAAAATTTTGGCTGTTTGGCCCATGTAATTTCATTGAATACCACTTTATTTACATAACATGTGAGCACCAAATAATCTAATGCAGGGTCCATCTTGGTACATATTGTATTTTAGTGTTAATGTGGAAAAATTTAATACCCAAGCACCAATTAAAGCACATTGGGTCTGGGGATTTTGGGGCCCCTGTAGGCCACTGTGCATTTATAAAGATATTTTTATGAATTAATCCAATACACAACAATCAGTAACAGTCATTAACATTAAAAATACCATCAATGTAAATATTCAAAATAACAAAAACTATCACATACCTCCATGGATTTACACTGTACGTTGGATATATACTGTATTTTATGGTGTTATACTCTCATATTCATTTCACATTTTATCCATCTCATCCATCTTGGAATAAAGACAAAAGAAAATATTTTATTTATTTTTTAAGAAAAACTGCTTTATTCACTTCACTCCATCCACACAATCAGTTTGTTTCACCTGAATCTCAGAGATGGAAAATAAAATAATGAATTATCTCCTCATTGATTATTATCATGATAATTACAGTTTTATAAGACATCATTGACCTTATTTGTAAGTCAATTTGAACAATGACAACATTTAATCTAACAAACACAGATGTAAATATAATTATAGATTTATTTCTTTACAAAGTGAGAACAAAATACCTGTGATAAAGGAAGGTCTGGTGATTTCTCTGTTTAGGCCCATGCAGTGGAAGAGAAACAACAACATACAAATACATCAACACAAATATTCAACAAACATTCAGAGCACAGAGAAGTTTATATTTTCATGTGGAGAAATGTCAGTTTAGGTTAAGACAAATCATCCTGAGCAGTGATATCCTCCATGACTCCAGCTCCACCTAAAGAAACTCAAACATCAACACAACAATAGATGAGAAGAGGTCAAAGTACCACCCATAATGTTTGATTGACAGGTGATCTCTGTGCAGTGCAGAAACACAACAGCAATGAGCTTTTAGCAACAATGAAGGAGATAAAATCAACTGATGAACTGAAATACAGATTTAAACCAACTGCACCTTAAATGACCTTTGTCTATTTGAGTTTACACAACTCAGCTGTGTCTCCATTATACCAAGGAAGCCAAAGTCCAGCATAGAGAGGCTGAGTGAATGTGGTCTGGACTCTGTGGAGGAGAGTCATGGTTTTAGAAACATTGTAGAAGGACAGAACACCTGCACTGTGATCCAGGTACACTCCTACTCTGAAGGACTGAGGACCTGAGACTGGAGTTTCAATATTGTTGTGAGAAAATAAATAATGTTTTTTGTCACAACTCAATGCCCAAGATTTTTCATTGAGACCAAATCCACATTCATTTGAGCTCCCTACTCTACTGATATTTTTGTATGCAACTGCTAAATTAACTCCTCCTCCTCTCCACTCCTCCTCCCAGTAACAACGTCCAGTCAGACTCTCTCTACTCAGAACCTGGCACCACCTAATGAATCTGTCTGGGTGACTAGAATAAGACTCTTCTTTTTTTATTAATGTTGCTTTTCTGTTTCCCTCAGATAATACCAGACATGTATTTGCTGTGTTTGGATCCAGTGTGATTTCCTGAGAATATTTTAAGAATCCAGCTCTGGTCCTGGGCTCTGGTTGTGACAGTAAAACATGCACTTCAGTCAGTGTCAGTGAGATGTTTGTCCATGTGTCTCTCAGAATGTCCTGTAGTTTATCTCTGAGCTGTGACACAGCTGCTGTCACGTCCTCAAAGTAGCTCAGAGGACGGATATTGATGCTGGATGAGTCTGTAGATTCACTGAGTCGTGACAGTGAGGGGTAGTTGTGTAGAAACTGGGTGTGATCCTCTGTGTGTGAGAGCTGCTTCAGCTCAGCGTCTTTCCTCTTCAGCTCAGTGATCTCCTGCTCCAGCTTCTCCTGAAGCTCTTTGACTCGACTCACTTCAGTTTTCTGCTGGGATCTGATCTGCTGCTTCACATCAGAGCTTCTTTTCTCCATGAGACGGATCAGCTCAGTGAAGATCTTCTCACTGTCCTCCACTGCTTTATCAGCAGAGCCATTGATAGCCTCCACCTCCTGTTGAAGCACCTTCACATCTTTGTCTCTGTCCTGGATTCTCTGCTGGATTTGTTGTCGACTCAGCTGGAGCTCTCTCTGCCTCTCAGTCCTTTCTGCTGCAGCTGAGACTGTGTCGTGGCCTTTATGTTCATCCACAGAGCAGAGATAACAGATACACTGCTGATCAGTGCGGCAGAACATCTTCATCACCTCATCATGACGAGAGCAGATGTTCTCCTGGAGCTTCTTGGAGGGCTCCACCAGCTTGTGTTTCTTTAATGGAGCTACATCATAATGAGGCTGCAGGTGTTTCTCACAGTAAGAGGCCAGACACATCAAACAAGACTTGACAGCTTTCAGTTTTCTCCCAGTGCAGAAATCACAGGCCACATCTTCAGGTCCAGCATAGCAGTGATCAGCAGGAGCAGCTTGGAGTCCAGTCTTCTTCAGCTCCTCCACTAAAACCGCTAACATGGTGTTTTTCACCAGGACAGGTCTTGGTTTGAAGGTCTGCCTACACTGAGGACAACTGTAGATTTTCTTTCCATCCTCTTTATCCCAGTGGGTTTCAATACAGCTGATGCAGTAGCTGTGTCCACAGGGAATAGTCACTGGATCCTTCAGTAGATCCAGACAGATCGAACAAGAGAAGGTCTCCCGGTCCAGCTGAACTCCTTTCTGCGCCATTTCACTTCTCAGTGACAACGACTATCTGACTTTCTCTTCCTAAGAACTGAAATTGGTTTGAGCTCTGATCTGAACAACATGTGTCTCTGCAGTGAATCAGGCCTGTTAATTCTTGCACTTCAATACATGTTGGTTCCTCCAATCTTCAAACTGTAGATCTGAAGGGGAGGGAACAAGGAAATACATTGATATAGTGGAGCTCACTGTGATTGAGGGCAGGGAGAAGAGGGAGGGTTATCAGGCTTTGTCTCATTCCAGGAAGAGGAGTGGTTTGAGACTGTGTGTTTAACCCTTTTTTCAACAGAGCTTGTTTTTTATTTGAAAACACAAATCACCTCAACCTTCAGGTGATAAACTCTTCTTTGGGCCTCTGGGTTTAGAGATGTTTCTCAATCAGTAATTCTGTTTTCTTGTATGTTCAATATTGTTTAAATGTTTAATAGATCAGAATAATTCAAAAACAGTGGATGAAAAAACAGTAGTCAATCACTGTTGATTTCTCAAAATTTTGAATTTTTTGATAAAGTACTTAAAGTATGTCTTTTCTTAATAAAAGTGGTTAAATTCAACATTTAGTTTTGAGTAAAGGTTGTATTTTCTGGGAATCCCAGAGGACATGAATACACCATTTCATTTGACTCTGTAGTTCAGCTGGAGACTGAAATGACTGAATGAATCCTGAATGAAAGGTTATTATAAATCTGATTTACTGATTAGTAATATCCTCTCTTTTCCAAGTGAACCAACAGACATCCCTATTGAGGGGTATATCATAGGAATAAAGTTGAAGTTTTACTGATCAATGTCAATACAATTATTAATACAAAGGTTTCAATGGTGAAACAACCTTTTCACACAACCCAAACACACTGTAATGAACCTCAACTTAAGCAACTGGAAGAACAATCTAACACTAGTGAAGTATAAACCAGAACACTATTAAAAATGTCACATATAGGTGGTTACTGGCTCTATGATAAGAGTATAGTCTCAATAAACAAATACAAACTACATAAGATTAATCACCTTCCTGTAACATTTTCTAATAAATAAAAGAAATTCAACAATTTCTTCATTTTAGACTAACTTAAAAGATGAATTCCTGATGAATTACAGCAGTTTCACAGCACTAACCATGATGTCTTACATAAGACATTTTTATCATAAATCTTCTCAGCCTAAAATCATGATCTTCACTACAAACTTCAGAAAAAGTGAGCTGAGCTACTTCAACCTCCACTACATCCCTGGTCAGGTGGATGAAGGCGCCCTCTTGTGTTGTGCATCAGTTTCAGATTTCAGTTGTTCACCTGCTGTGATGTTCACTGCAGGAAGACGAGTAAAAACTTCACTCAGCCTTTGGCAGCTTTAAACAACATCAGTAAAGACACATGTAAATATATATGTAATATCACACTGTGTCAGTTTGTTCACAGGAGTCACACCCTGTAACAATGATGCTGCATTCAGGTCACATGGGAAAGATAAAAGACAACAAAGTATTTGATTTAATCAAGTGGATGGAAAAACTGTTTTATTCATGATGTGAAGCTTCAGTTTGTTCACACACTGAATCAGTAAAGTCTGTTAAATGACTCTTATTCAGTGATTTCATGAACAGATTCACTTCATCCACACAATCAGTTTGTTTCACCTGAATCTCAGAGATGGAAAATAAAATAATGAATCATCTCCTCATTTATTATAATCATGATAATTACAGTTTTATAAAACCTCATCGACCTTATTTGTAAGTTGATTTGAACAACAACAACAACATTCAATCTGACAAACACATAAATGTAAATGTAATTATAAATTTAATTCTTTCCAAAGTAAGAACAAAATATCTGTGATAAAGGAAGGTCTGGTGATTTCTCTGTTTAGGCCCATGCAGTGGAAGAGAAACAACAACATACAAATACATCAACACAAATATTCAACAAACATTCAGAGCACAGAGAAGTTTATATTTTCATGTGGAGAAATGTCAGTTTAGGTAAAGGAAAATCATCCTGAGCAGTGATATCCTCCATGACTCCAGCTCCACCTAAAGAAACTCAAACATCAACACAACAATAGATGAGAAGAGGTCAAAGTACCACCCATAATGTTTGATTGACAGGTGATCTCTGTGCAGTGCAGAAACACAACAGCAATGAGCTTTTAGCAACAATGATGGAGATAAAATCAACTGATGAACTGAAATACAGATTTAAACCAACTGCACCTTAAATGACCTTTGTCTATTTGAGTTTACACAACTCAGCTGTGTGTCCATAGACACAAAGAGAAGAAAGCCAAAGTCCAGCATAGAGAGGCTGAATGAATGTGGTCTGGACTCTGTGGAGGAGAGTCATGGTTTTAGAAACATTGTAGAAGGACAGAACACCTGCTCTGTGATCCAGGTACACTCCTACTCTGGAGGACTGAGGACCTGAGACTGGAGTTCTGATATTATTATACAAAAATGTATAACTGTTCCGGTTACAACTTAATGCCCAAGATTTGTCATTTTGTCCAAATACAGATTCACTCCCTGCTCTGCTGATATTCTTGTATGCAACTGCTACATGAACTCCCCCTCCTCTCCACTCCACCTCCCAGTAACAACGTCCAGTCAAACTTTCTTTACTCAGGACCTGCCAACATGAAGTGAACCTGTCTGGGTGACTAGAATAAGACTGTTGTTGTCTCATTACTGTTGCTTTTCTGTTTCCCTCAGATAATAACAGATATGTATTTGCTGTGTTTGGATTCAGTGTGATTTCCTGTGAATGTTTTAAGAAGTCAGCTCTGGTCCTGGGCTCTGGTTGTGACAGTGAAACATCCACTTCAGTCACTGTCAGTGAGATGTTTGTCCATGTGTCTCTCAGAATGTCCTGTAGTTTATCTCTGAGCTGTGACACAGCTGCTGTCACGTCCTCAAAGTAGCTCAGAGGACGGATATTGATGCTGGATGAGTCTGTAGATTCACTGAGTCGTGACAGTGAGGGGTAGTTGTGTAGAAACTGGTTGTGATCCTCTGTGTGTGAGAGCTGCTTCAGCTCAGCGTCTTTCCTCTTCAGCTCAGTGATCTCCTGCTCCAGCTTCTCCTGAAGCTCTTTGACTCGACTCACTTCAGTTTTCTGCTGGGATCTGATCTGCTGCTTCACATCAGAGCTTCTTTTCTCCATGAGACGGATCAGCTCAGTGAAGATCTTCTCACTGTCCTCCACTGCTTTATCAGCAGAGCCATTGATAGCCTCCACCTCCTGTTGAAGCACCTTCACATCTTTGTCTCTGTCCTGGATTCTCTGCTGGATTTGTTGTCGCCTCAGCTGGAGCTCTCTCTGCCTCTCAGTCCTTTCTGCTGCAGCTGAGACTGTGTCGTGGCCTTTATGTTCATCCACAGAGCAGAGATAACAGATACACTGCTGATCAGTGCGGCAGAACATCTTCATCACCTCATCATGACGAGAGCAGATGTTCTCCTGGAGCTTCTTGGAGGGCTCCACCAGCTTGTGTTTCTTTAATGGAGCTACATCATAATGAGGCTGCAGGTGTTTCTCACAGTAAGAGGCCAGACACATCAAACAAGACTTGACAGCTTTCAGTTTTCTCCCAGTGCAGAAATCACAGGCCACATCTTCAGGTCCAGCATAGCAGTGATCAGCAGGAGCAGCTTGGAGTCCAGTCTTCTTCAGCTCCTCCACTAAAACAGCAAACATGGTGTTTTTCACCAGGACAGGTCTTGGTGTGAAGGTCTGCCTACACTGAGGGCAGCTGTGGATTTTCTTCTCATCCTCTTCATCCCAGAAGCTTTTAATACAGCTGATGCAGTAGCTGTGTCCACAGGGAATAGTCACCGGATCCTTCAGTAGATCCAGACAGATGTAACAGCAAATAATTTCCCCATCCAGCTGAACTCCTTTCTGTGCCATTTCACCTCTCAGTGTCAACGACTGTCTGAGTTTCAATTCTGTAGAACTGAAACTAGTTTGAGCTCTGATCTGAACAACATGTGTCTCTGCAGTGAACGGGGCCTGTCAGCTCTTGCACTTGTTGGTTCCACCCATCTTCAAACTGTAGATCTGAAGGGGAGGGAACAAGGAAATACATGGACAAAGTGGAGCTGGCTGTGTTTGAGAGCAGAAAATTAGGCATGTCCTCATTCCACTATGAGGATCAGCAACTGTGGATTTAAACTTTGTTTCCTATTTACTATAAATACCTGCTCCTCATTTGATAATATTTATGTATTTGCTTTTAAAATACTTGCTGGCACCTGAGGGTCTGTGGATTTGAAGAGGAGGGAACAAGGAAATATATGAACAGAGTAAAGCCTGCTGTGTTTGAGAAGAAGAGGGAGGGTTATTAGTCTTTGCTTTGTTCCAGGAAGAGGAGCCGCTTGATAATGTGTGTTTACCCTTTTTACCCCTCTTTAAACTCTTGGGATATCTGGGTTTAGAGATGGTTAGTGAGTTTCCAGAATAGAATCAATTACTGTATACTTTTAATACACGTTTTAGTTTGTTTAAATGTTTTATAGATCACAATAATTCAAATACAGTAAAAGAAAAACAGTAATTAATTCCTGCTGCACAAGTGATGAAATTATCAAATATTGTTTTCACTTATTTGATAAAGTCCTCGACAACAAATCAAACAAATTACTTGCTGCAACTGAATCCCACAGTACATGTCTCCAGGAAATCATTTGACCTTGCAATTAAGTTTGAGATGGACTTTGTGACCCCGAAAAATCTAGTGTCATACATGAGATTAATAATATTTTTAGGTTTTGTTTGAAATGAACCAACAGACATCAGACTTTAGCAGATACATTCTCATCATATCAGCAAAATCAGTGATGAATAAGCCTAATAAGACCTTTCTAAAAAAATCTCAAACATGGGTAATTACTGGTTTTATAATATCACTGTTTGTAGTATTTTTGAAAAAAATAAAAAGACAAGCAATAATTTTTCTTCACTTTCTTTCACTTGAAAGGTGAAATCCTAATCGTATCTTTTTGGTTTGAGCACTCATGACATGTTGGAAATAAGTTTCTACCCCCCTGCTGTGTGCAAACCCGTCTATTACACCTCAAACAGACCACTGCACGTCTGGGAAAATATGGCTGGATCTAAAATACACTACAAAGCATAATGGCTGTGATTTTAACTTCATATCTTTTCATGTTTATGAGGCACTTCACGTCTTTGACGAAAGATTTGGATTAATCAACCTCCATGTCCTGAGCTAAGAAATTAACCAATGCTCGTCAGCATGTAGTCACAATGGTTCACTGAAACCCAAGAGTTGGCTGTAAGCTAGCTTGGTAGCTTGAAGGTTATCATTAGTGAAATAACGTCACTAAAAGTTACTTTTTTATCATGAAAGTAATCATTTAGTAATCATAACCAGTTGGTACAACTTTCTGTGAGCTAGCTTGTTAGGTTGCAGTTAGCAGGAATCACTAGACCTGACAACAGTTTTCGCAAATTAGCAGCAAATAAACAAACAATTCTATAAAGGCTGTGTCCGAAATCACTTCCTTCTTTACTATGTAATGCAATAAATTTACCCAGTACAATTTTAATTTATTGTCCGAATTCTTAGTGGAAAAATCAGAGTCCATGGAATGTACATTACTCCATGCAAACAATCCGACGTGCCAGATTTTACAGTTGCAAACGTTAACAGTCGGGTGACATTATGCCTGTAAGTGATGACACACAATGACAATGGTTTGTAGGTGTGTGAAATCTTAATTAACTGCTCACTACAGTGTAAACTATTGTGTATCTACAGGGAGTAGTGAATTAGGGATTGAAGGGGTGATTTCAGACTCAGCCTGAAAAGGCTGTTAAGTATCTAAGGTCAAAGTTGAGGCCTGGCAGGGCCTCAGCAGTCGGACTCGGCCATCCTCTCAGGCCGGGCTGATTGACAGGTGCTGGGTGGGGTGAAGACATCGGGATCACTGATGCCCAGCTGGAGGTTGAAGAAGCGGGTGGAGGTGGTGACGCTGCTGTTCCTGGTGTATGTCTCCTGCACTGGATAGCAGTCCTTCAGGGTGTAAACACCCACCCATGTCTCATCTGGTGGAGGGAGGGAGCAGACATTATGGCAGCTCAGAACTCGAGGTTTTATTCCAACAACAGCTGCCCTTATAATCAGTTAAAATTTGGCATGAAAGAAGGAAACCTTCTGGAATGTTTGTTTTATTGTGAAGGAGCTGCAGTAAGTATTGAATATAGACCAACACTGTTTTTTTAAAAATGGATCAAATGGCGATTAAAGGGCATATTCAACAAACTTACACCCATATTTTTTACTTCTACTTAGTATCATCTACTCATAGAGCAGGTTTAGTTTCTTTTGTGTAAGTTTTGAGACTTAAAATTACTTTCTTCATAAAATGAATCCATATGAAAACTGTTTGCAGCACGTTCATAGCGCTTTTGATGTTGTGAAAAAGTTAAATATCATTCACCTCCATGGTATTGAGATAGAGGCAGAGATACAATGGGACAGATATCTTAAAATTAGAACAGGTGGAGCCAAAACAATCTGTATAGCTAGATACCATTTGAGGTCAGTGGGATTTTTTTCCCGACTCTTTCAATTACAGATTGACTAATATAAGACAAAGAGACCCAACCAAAACTTGAAGACTAGTACATTTGGAAACCATGACAACATGCCAAACTTTGTTCAGGATTTAGAGTTTCTTCAGATGGGGTTTGCAACTGTAACTCTAAATCGACTCAGATGTTTCTCTACCTGTTCGAGTTTTACCTAGAAATGGTTTCCGTTGGCAGGTTGCAGCCAGGGGAAAGTAACTCAGGCACTGAAAGTCACTTGAAGTTTCTCACTTTCTAAATTTAGATCACAGCCATCATCTATTGGCTGTTACTGGTACTACATCGACAGGAACTAAAGGACAATATTATTCCTCCAGCACATGCTTGTATAATATAACAATAATAATAATAATAATAATAATAATAATAATAATAATAATAATAATAATAATAATATGTATAATAGCCAAATGAAAATTAAACATTTATGGCAGCAGGCAGCACTACAGTAAGATAAGTGGAGATTAATACCTGTAGACACTGCTCTACATGCAGTACTTTGGACACCACCAGCACTTTATCCAACAGGTTATTTGCTAAAGTGCTAAAGGAAGCACTAGTTCCAAATCTCTGCAATCTCTGTCTTGATGTTTTCTCTGTATTTTATGAAAAAGGCAGCATTGTACTGAAGAGCCACAGGTGTTGCGTTAAAAACCCGACTCACGCTGACGGGCCGGCTTCCTGTCTGACCACTCCTGAACCTCCACATTGTCCCCAGGGCCTCCGATGAAGTACTGGTCCTCGAAGGTGGAGTTGTCGGGGATGTCAAAGGGATCCCAGGCCTCCGTCAGCGCGATCTTTGAGCAGTCTTTGGTCTTCTGGTCAATCTGGAACATCACCATGCTCTGGTACAGGTAGATGTACTCAAAAAACCTGAAGCAAGGTGAGACAAAGAGGTGAGGCTTTTTTTGGGTGGAGTTTTTTCTTATCCAAATCGAGGGTGTCGTATGCTGTTTGTATTGTAAAGACAAATGAACTGAGAAAAATAACATGCTGACACCAGGATTCAGTTCACAGCTGCATTAGCTTATTTTTTTCTGGCTCCTTGGGGTCAACAGGTGATAACACATCATCTGACATTGATTCACCTCCAGCTGTTAAATCGTAATTATTTCAGTTTAATTATGTATATTAATTTGAAAAAGATGTCTTTAAAAGGTGCCTTATTAGAAAATGCCGTCTTTATCATTATTGTTAACATTTATTTGATACAATTGATTATTTTAATGTGTATATATGCTTTATTTGAATGTTTTTTGTGTTATTTCCCTTATCATTTTTTATGAATTTATACTTTTTATATGATGAATCTTAATATATCAGTATTAAGAATATTAAGAACTATTTCCGTGCTACTAGATTGTTATCAAGCCAATATCAACATCCTTTACAAAAATCATGAACACAACCAAAGAGATTTTACAAAACCTGGCAACTCAAAGTTTGTTGTTATTACTGGCTTATAACTGATTTATAAAGCTTTAGTAACATTTAACATTTAAACATCAATAAAGCCTTACTGATGAACTCTTAATAAAAATGTTATGTCTGTCTAGCTAGTATTGTGATCATTTATTACATGTAATGTACTTTTTATTGTTTGTGTTTTGTATTTGTATGTTTATTTAAATTAATTTTTTGTATTCCATCCATGTATATTGGTTCCTTTTATGCAATTCAATTTACTGTATTTACTGGGGGGAGGGGTTAGAAGA